AAAGCTTCGCTTCACGTCATCCGTCCAATCGTAACCTCCTGCTTCCATCAGCAGTCGGTTGAAGTCTGCTAGTATCTCGCTGAATGGGCGATTACCCTGACGCAAGCTGCGTAGCTCCTCCATAGCCTTCTCCGCGCGGTTCTTGTCTCGAAACATGAGGTCGAGTTGGTTAAGCATGCTAATTAACGTATTCGCGGTTGCTGTAGATGGATCTTGAGCATATCGGTCCATCCATGGGGTCATCGCCGCAGCTGCGTTCCCCTTTAACCTGCTAAAGGCATACCACATGCAGCTAAAGGGGGAACCAATTGCTGCCTGGTCAATCTGCAGCTTTGCTGCCAGCTTAGAACGGAAGGTGTAATATGCAGTCTTATCGACGCCATCATACATTTCTACATCTGGTAGTACTGGCTTCGGTCTTCTCATTCCATCATCTGCGGGCGTGACAGCTGGGGTAGGCGCTGCGGAGGTCTCGCTTGACGCAGGTGTGGCTGCTGCAGGGGCAGCGGCTGCCTGTCGTCCTTCTATCTGGTCTATTCGACTTATCACCCTTGCTAACTGTTGTGCTATTTGGGTAAGGGGGTCGGTTTGCAGGCCGCCCTGCGCCTGTGGTCGTTCTCCACTAGGTTCGTCTGCCATGATTGATTCTAGGGCGTTGTTATATGCCATCAATTCTGTCTGCGGCTATTGGTTCTCGCTGGCCGTGGTTCTCGCTCGGCTGGTACGGCTGGTTCTCGCTGATTCGTCTGTCTCGCTGGTTCGGCTGGGTCTCGCTGGTTCGGCTGGGTCTCGCTGATTCGTCCGTCTCGCTGGTTCGGCTGTGTCTTTCTCTCTTCTTCTAACTATCTTGGAACGAGCGATTTCTAATGTCACGGGCTAGAAGCCGGTCAACCTATGACCTAGGTTTGGACGGTAAGAAATCGCTAAGGGGTTCTAAGTAGGGCCGCAACGGCCGAACAAGAAAAGATGTGTGCGAACTGCAGGCGAGGTCACGTGACTTAGTGACCTCGTGATATCGTTGGTGCCTAAGGCAGCTCGCGAGTGCCGATAGGCTCGAGCATACAGCGGGCCTTGCCCGCTACAATTTCCTTCTAACCTTATATTACCTTCTTAATCTTCTTATATTACTTACTGGCTTTAGCATTATTAAAAGAATATATTTAATAACCCTTACTTAGTGGCTTAGGCTTCTTATATATATTATTTATAATTTATTAGATATCCTAGCTATATAGATATATTTTTACTACCTTAGACTAGGTCTAATATAAGTTAGTGCTGGTAAGTAAAGGAAGCTTATTAAGGTTAACTATAGATAGTATAGTAGATCTATAGTTTTTAATAAATAAGTATAGAAGGTTTAAAAAGAGGAAATTTTAGATAAAAATCAAAATAAATAGATAAATCAGAGAAACTCTAGGGAAAAGAGCTTAGAAAATAGTACTATCTAAAGCTCTTAATAAGACTCTAGGCTTATAACCTAAAGAAATAAGAAGATAATATTATATTAAAGTGCATGTAGAATTCATTACTACCTTAGTAGTTATCTTAATGCTATTCTAATTATATAGTGGTGGGTGAAGAGATTTCTACTAGGTAAGATTATGTGACAGGAGCACCCGCCATATGATCCATACGCCTACAGATTTTAATATCATCATCTCATGAGAATGAAGGGGAGTAAGGGTACTATATAGTAGAGCGCTACAGTGTTAATAAAATAGACTTAAACTAGTAAGCAGAGATGATCTAAATCAAGCCATATACCCTATAAATAATGTTAAAACATGTACAGCAAGATATATAGAAGGCTCAGCCTTTAACATAGCAAGACTTAATGGAAACGTGCCTCCTTCCCTGGGTTTCATCAGTCGTAGCACGTAAGAGAGAATGGCAACTCACGTAGTCTCCAATCTCTCCAGGGAAAGTAAACGCCCTGTCTCCATTAGATCATCCCGAGCAGCAAATATTACTGAGGTACTACGAACTTCGTCCTTAATGCATTGGGATTATACCCAAGAGCATAAGAGCCGCCCAGCCAATCGAGATCGTCGCATTCTTTTACCACCTGAGCAGTACGATACGTATTCTTCTCGTCGTAGTATTCCTCTGTGTCAACATGGAAAAACTTTTGAAGAGCAGGAAGAGCATAGTGCGCAGTAAGTATCGGGGCCCGTTTGTTTCTCCCTGTCGAGGAAGCTTGGAGAGATCGAAGACAGCAGGGGAGAACTCAGTGCTTGTTGCTCCTATTTATCAAAGACTACAGAGGACCTGCGAAGCTCAAAGTTAGGATTAATGCCTAATTATGTCTCCCGGTTCTAGTGGTGTTCAAGGCTATCCTGGATAAATCAAGAAGCAGTACGCTTGAGGTAATATATGCCTGTCACTAAGCCTCTCACTACAAGCTTCAATGGCCTTGTATACTTCGATCGGCTATCCATGGCAGATGATCTGATCTTCCAAATCGCTAATGACAGAGGACGCAGTTTTCTCGGTTCATTTTCATTGTGTTCCCAATCACTGCACAGTTTCGACTGAAGCACTCCCGATTTCTGGCCTAGTAGGTACATAAACGGAATTGCAGATCATGGGCAGCCTTTTAAGGACACCAATCAATCTGGATACAATCAAGCCTCAAGACAAGTGTTGGTAGGATAGTTGCAGCTGTCGCCACTACCACCGGTGATGCTGACATTCTCAAAGCTGAAATTAGAGCAGCTGCCATCACCACAGAGAATGTAGTAATCCTTGCCGTCGCTCATGGTACCGGTGACATCAACAAACGTGACGTTCTCGATCTTGACGCCGTTGGTAGGCTCCCCGTTAGGACCGCCGTTCAGGTAATCCTGCTGGATATCGATACCGTAGTCGGTGATACCAGAGACGGTGATATTCTCGTAGCGGATGTTGTAAACCTCACCGGTCGTTCCTGAGTTCGTCTTGATTCTGCATCCGTTCTCGCTGTTGATGACCTGCGAGTTGGAAAAGGTCACACCGTCAACGGTGTTGTCGCTCTTGCCGCCGATGGAGCCGATGCTCAGTCCGTGGCCTCCGTAGCAGTACATGTTGTCCACGACGATGTCCGTGCCGCTTGTGACCGCGACACAGTCGTCCTGGTTGTGCACCCAGCTGTTCTGGAGGGTGAGGTTGGTGCTGGATTTGATGTCGAAGCCGTCGGAGTTGTGGGCGGCCGGGTCGCCGTCGCTGGCACTGTTGGGGGAGTCGCCGGCGGAGTTGTTCAGCGTCAGGCCGGAGATGATCAGGTTCTCGGTGTTCTCGATGTCGAAGCAGTGGACGGGCCAGTTCTGGATGTAGAGGTTCTCGATGCGCGAGTCGTACATGTGCTTGACAACGATGAAATGGTCGGGCTTCGAGGAACCGCCGTTGGAGCCCTCACCGTCCCAGTAGGCGGCGCCGTTGCCGTCGATGACGTGCCCCTCCGCTCCGGTGATGGTCACATCGGTTCCGGAGATGACGATGGGGTCGAAGTCGTCGTCGGGGGTGTTGCCAAAGGTCGTGGTACCGGCGAAGATCACGGCCGCTCCGGTCTGCAGGTTCTGGAGGTCGATTGTGCTGGAAGGAGGGGCGTAGACGTCCGACAGGAGGATGTTCGAGCACGATGCAACGGCCGAGGAGATGGCAGCATACTCGGTGACGGTGCAGGTGGTGCCGCCGTTACCCGCGAAGGTGGAGCTCTTCGTCGTGGTCGGGGCAGGGGCTTGGGTGGTGGAAGCCACAGCAGTGGTTTTCAGGGTGGTGGGAGCAACAGTGGATGTAGCCTGAGCAGTGGCGGTGTTGACCTGAACCTGTCAACAGCAACGCTTGGTTTAGATCTGCTCGAATTGGATACTAACAGCACTAGTCTGGGTAGGAGCAGCGGCGGTAGCAGGACCAAGACAGCTACAGGCGCTTGACAGGTGCTTTGTGTTGTAGTCGCAGTTGCTGAGAAGAGCGGCAGGCACGCCAGTAGTTTCGGTGACCGTGCTCGCGGTGAAAGTGGCACAGAAGCTGGCGGCAGCAGCAGACGAGACCGAAAATACGGAGGCACAGGAATGGTTGGAGTCGCTGGGGTCAACACAGGCAAGAGCCAGGGGAACGAAGGGAACAAGGAGCGCACCGCGCTTCATCTTGGAACAAAAGAGGGACTTGGAATGGTTAGAAGACAGGGACAAGAAAGGAAGGAAGGTAAGGATGGAAATGAATGAATATAGGACCAAGCCTATGCTGTTTGAGTTATCAGGAACGAGGGAATTGGGCATCCAGGTGTATTTATATTACTGACCGAGTCAGGAGATGACTATAATGGAGTGGACTACTGGGCCATGCATACTCCAGTCTATAGACTATCAGATAGGTGGATCGCGAATGTTTGTTAGTGTGCATAATGGCCGTTTCAGATTGCTTCAGGAGCGCAAAAGCCACGAACTCCACGGAGAACCATTTGATTGCATGGAGAATTGAAATGAACTGTTTAGTTGCTTAATCTCCGGTAGTCTGGGGCTTGCCATAGCTTGTCAGTCCTGACTCGGTCCCATCGTCCTTATTGGCGCATTCGGCAATTCCAACTCCACCAGCCAAATCGTTGCACGACTAATTACGATGCGAGTATGGATACTGGGGCTTCGGAATTGTTTCATCAGTGTTGGATAGAGGGCCTCGCTTGCTTTATGACCGAGGTTCTGCCATTATGCGCACATTACGAGTCTTATTCAAGTTTGATAAACTCTATTAAAGCATCCTGATGGATTTCATTGTACTCCAATCTGTGCGCAAGGACAATATATCTGCCGCTGACGGAAATTAAGTGCATGATGTGTAGGTATAGCGCTTACGTGGTATCCTTTAATGATGACTTCCTGCCTGGTTCTGTTCTTGATACTGCTGTCTTGATAACTTTGATTACCTGCGCAATCTCCGTGCTCATGTATCATGTCCACTGAATAACAGAGGGTTCATTATCATACTGAAATATTGTACAACCCCTGAGGGGTAAACGGGTATCATTCTGCATGACCATTCCCGTTCTCGCTTCCGTTCGCTCTCGGCCCATGCGTCTTCTGCAACTCCCTCCATCGCCGCATCACTATGGCGCGTTCATCGGGTGAAGACGCACACATCTCATCGATCCCTTGCTGTATTCGCGAGGTCAGAATCTCCTTGATTTTGCTTCTTGCTAGAGAGTTGCGTAGGCTCTTGTGGAGGCCGTCGAGGGGATAACCTGCTAAGCCCCAGAGTCCTAACATCGTCAGTACGAAGTAGTCCGAGGGAGAAAGGATGGTCACACCTGCTGCGGGCTTGAGGATGACTCCCCCAAGACCTTTGCCAATGCCTTTCAGGAGGCCGATTGAGCCGGATCTCTCCAGGCCGTCTGCGGGCTGTGTGACGAGTCCGGTGAAGCCTTGGTAGAATTCTTGGGTGAATTCCTACGTGCAAATATTAGCTTCCACTCAATTCGGTGACACAAGAGAATCAAGAAGTGATGCCAACCTTTCCAGCGGCTCGAAACCCACCCCGCAGCCCCATGACTGTCGGGATTTCGGCCACCGTACTGTCGTGGTACAGCTTTGGCGCATTGTGGAAACCCTTGGACAGAGTCAGGGTCACATCGGTAGGTATCGTGATAACCCAGTTCAACAGTCGCTTTCCAAACCGTTTGCTGTGATAGCCTGTCTCTGCTAGCACCACATGAACGCCTCCCTGCGCCTCCCTTGTTGCCCGTCGGCTGATCGTTCTTTCAAGGTCCTGTTCGCCACTGTCCCCTTCGCTCTCTACATGCGTGTCTGAGGTATCCGATTGAACCGTGGACTGGTCCGATATTCGATTTCTTCGCTCCGGGACGCTATCCCTCGACATGCCATCCGGAGCAGAGATAAAACTCGCACTATCATCATCAACTTCCTCCTCCTCCTCCTCCTCCTCCTCCTCCTCGTCGGCGTCCGTGGGCTCATCCATGTCACCGGAAGGACTCGATAACTGGAAATCAGCCTCCGATCGCCGCATACTTGCCACCGAGCCCAGCTGCGATCGCACCCGGTCCTCCGGGGGAATGCCGTCCATGGACTTCGGCGTCCTCCCTTTACGTGCCGCACAGTCGCAGTTGACCTCCCAGTCGTCGTCGTGACGGTGACGCCACCCATGCTTCTTGTGGTGATGGTGATGGCGCGAGATCGCCTCGACAACCTCAGCCGGTGCAGTCGCGAGACCCGTTACAAAGTCCGACACGATGCCATAGAGCACCTCTGCGCCCGCGGAGATGGGACCTCGCGGGTCGCGGTTTGTATCGTATTCTTTCGACCGGTACAGGACGACATTTTGCGGCTTGATCAACCCGGCCTCGACGAGCACAGACGCCGCAAAGGCGCTCAGCTTGATATGCGAGTGGCGCACCCACCATACGGCCGGGCGCTGCGGACAGATCGAGCATCGCAGCGCCTCCAGATCCAGGTGCCGATGGAAACTGGCTACGGCGCACCTGACTCCATTCTCCTGTCTCATCTTCTCCCCGATCTCGCCCGCTTTCTCCTGCATCTCAGGCCCGAGCGCCTTGTTGATCGCGTCCGCGAGTTTCTCCGCGTTGAGCCTTTTATATGGAATCGGCGCCGGTCCCGCACCGGCCCTATATACAATCGACCCCCAGAAGGGCTGGTCGCCGAAGAAAGGGATGATTATCGTTGGTCGGCCAAGCGCGAGCCCTGCTGCTGTTGTTCCTGCTCCACCGTGATGGACCACGCATGAGACGTGCTTGAATAGCCAGTCGTGCGGATAGCTGCCGACCATGAACACGTTCTCTGGGATTTCGGCTTCCCCCGCACCGATGTTGCCCCAGCCTTTATTAACTAGTGCGCGCTGGCCGGTTTTGACGATCGCTTCAAAGACAATCTTGGTTAGTTTGGTAGGGCTATCGACGACGATGGAGCCGAAGCCGACATAGATGGGCGGGGGACCGTCTTCCAGGAACCTGATCAGGTCGTCGGGCGGCGTGAAGCTGCTAGGAGCAGACAGCATGCTGAAGCCACAGACGTCGATATTGGTTAGCCAGTCGGCTGGTTTGGGGAGCAGAGCCGGTGACCTGCTGATGTCAGTATTCAAAATCTCAACGCATCGAGGCTACCGACCAGAGATAGGTGAAGGGAATGCGGAGTTTATGCGCGATACCTGGCGCGCGAATGGCGTCCAACGGGTCAAGCCCCAACTCTCGCTTGCGGAATTTGTTTAACAGGTCCCCCAATCCCTCATAGAGCATCATCTCGACAACCGCATACGAGGCGAAATTCGCGACAGACGGTTTAGTATTCGTGGGACGCACGTTGGCCAGCGGATGCGGAAAGGCCTGGGTTGCCGACCAGGGCATCGTGAACATGAGTATCAACGGCACGCCCAATTTCTCCGCGCAGCTGAGATGCGCAAAACTCGGCGGGTTGGCGATGATGGCGTCGGCCACGAACGGCTGCTGGCGGTAGTCCACCGCCTCGCTCCACGGATCATCGGGGACGTGGTGCAGTCCCGTCCCATCGCCGGTCTCGAAACAGGACCGCCAACACCCGGAGAATATCGCTGCCATCTCCCTCCGCCGGCGCCGGATCGCCCCGCTGCGCAACGTTTTCATCTTTGGGATCAGACCGGGGTTCTTCACCATGAACGCCATGAGCTCGGCGGGATCGCCGCCAATGTTGAAGAATTCGAGGTCATGGTCCTGGACGAAGTCGCGGAAGGCGAGGTGGGTCGCGAGTCGGACGCGATGGCCGCGTTCTTTGAGGGCCATGCCGAGTGCGACGAAGGGCTGTACGTCGCCGCGCGATCCGACGACTTGGATGACGATGTTGAGGTGGAGGGGGAAGGTCTCGGGTTTCTTGATGGAGGGCTGTGGAAGGGATGCCCTTCGCACCTCTTCCGGGGTCGGTCTGATTGGCTTTTCCAGGTGTTGGAGGAGGTTTGTGAGGCTGGTTTTTTGGCCGCGAAACCGGATGTCGAGTCGTCCGTCAGCTGCAGCAATCACAATTAGCTTTGCCGTCTACCAACTGATATAGCACTCGTACCCATTACTCGTACACCCGTGTTCATCCCATGTTCCAGGATGGACGTGCGACGACCGTCGCCCGAGGTTGTGTCGCTGAGGGCCTCTTGGGGCCAGTCGGCCGTTGTAATGCCATTGCCACCTGTAGATTGTTGTCGGGGCATCGTGTCCTTGATGGAATCCAAAAGATCCCTGGTTCACGCACTAATAGGCCGGGAAGCTGCATGAGATAGCTAAGGCAGCAGTCGGACATGGTGAATCCTGAAGTCTCGCGATGCGGTGGCTTCATATGGTGATGTCATGGCACATCAAGCTTTCTTGGTGGGTCGAAGAAGAAACCTCGGCATCGGGTGATTATTTCCTGGTCATGCAATAATCCACATTAAGTTCAGGTTTAACTTGTCTAGACAATGGAGGATCTTCAAATAAGCTAGAGATCAATATTGCTAACCATCAATCATGCCGATCCTTTTCTTCCGCCATGACCGATTCGGCCACTCGGGATGACAACCTTTGGCTGATGTCGATTTCCCGTCGGCGACGATCTTTTTGGCCGATTCAACGTCAATTTAAATACTCAGCACCCTCAAATCCCTTGAACCGAGTATCCATGTCTCGTCAATAATGCGCGCTGAATCATCATGGCGCAATGCCTAACCCTCAACCTCACCGTAGACAATGTCCAGCCCCCGGCGCTCAGCCAGCCATCTTCTTTCTGCACGGCTTCGGCGCCTGCAAAGAGGATCTGCATGATATCCTGCGTCTTCCCGCATTCGCAGACCACACATTCCTCGCCTACGACGCCCCAGGATGCGGCGAATCTTCATCGGATCTCTCCAAAACCACCATCACCACTGCGCAGGCCGTGCTGGTGCACTAGGGGATTACTCACTTCCACCTCATCGGCGACTCAATGGGCCTCACGGCACTGATGCTGGCACACGCCGAACCAGCCCGCATCCTCAGTTTCATCAGTATCAAGGGCAACCTCGCGCCGGAAGATTGTTTCCTGAGTCGGCAGATCTTCACGCACCCGGGGGACTCTGACGAGGAGTTTCTTGCGCACTTTATCGAGCGGACGCGTCGTCGCCATCGCTCAGGAACGGGCTGTATGCTGCTAGTCTACCTGCTCGAGTCCATGCTGGGGTTGTCAGAGGCATCTTCGCTTCCATGGTGGAGTTGTCGGATTCGGAACGCTGAAGGAGAAGTTCTTGGCGCTTCCGTGTCCGAGGATGTTCATGTTTGGCGAGCAGAACCGTGGCTTGTCGTATCTTGGGGAGTTGAGGGAGGAGGGGGTTGGGTTAGCGGAGATTCCGTTCAGTGGGCATTTTCCTATGTATTCGAATCCCCCGGAGATGTGGAGGCGGATTTTCGCGTGTTTGGGGAAGGGCTTATAGACTATACCCTGTACTAGAGGGAAAGATTCTAAGGATACTTAGAATTTAGCATGTGCTGCCTTTCGTGTGATTGTAGGCTAGCAATATTCCAGAGGGTTGTGACTCCTCGATCAGAGAAGCCATGGGCGCGAGTGGGCGAGTAGAACCACAGAGTTTTTCGGAATGGGTGTATAGATTGGGAGTGTACCGGAAAGCATATAAAGCATATACAGACTAATCAAAATCCTATCAATATATAGAGGTGTTTGCGCAAATTGCCCAGTGTGAGTGACTGATTCCCAGAAAGTTCGTTATTCCAGAAGCGGGCACATGATTAAACCACTCAGGGTGCAGACAAGAGGGGAATGTTGACAAGGGCGAAAAAGAGTCTAGAGAAATCGGGGGATCGAATGGAGCAGGATTCAGCCAATGTCACGTAGTTGGCGGCCCAAGGGTGACACAAAGTCAACCGTCTCATCTGGTCCAGTCCTCCGAGATTGCACCAACCGTACAATCCCGAAGTTTGTGGCAGAGGGAGAAAGGATCGCACTTGATCTTCGATGCGCATCGACTAGCCAAAAAATGTGTTGGCGACAGTATTCAGGGCCACAGAGGCGCCGGTCGCCACGAAATAAGGCCCGCATTTCAACCAATGTCTTTTTGTTATGTATGGGGCAAAAGGGGGCTAATCACCATGCGGGATAGAGCGAATTCAGTCATCCGGCTGGGGGTGGCATATAGGTAGGTAGTTATTCGATATATCTCTATATCGACAATTCGACTGAATTCAACTAGAATTCGATTGGAATTCGACTGGAATTTCATAATAATTTAATAATTTAATGTTGAATAGTTGGATCCTAATAATCTAACCTTTTGACATTAATAATTTAACAGGTTAGTGATTCAATAACTAATGAGTCAAATATGATAATTTTAACATTAATAATTTGGCGGTTTGACGTTTCATAGTTCAACAGTTTAACGTCAATAATTCAATATTCTAATGTTGATAATTTGATGGTTTGAACCAGTCTAACAATTCGATAATTCGACAGTTCAAGGTCCACATAACCAATCCCCTTACACCTTTTGATGACAGGCTACCTAATGTCCGGGTGGCGGTGGACAGTCCTACTAGGTACTGCTCTGTACCTAAAGACTACACAGGATAGTACGCAGTGCTAGCTGCAGCCACGTAGATATTCGACCAGTTATCCTCAAGTTTTAACCAGGCGTAGACCTAGCCTGTGCGGGTTCTGCCATGGAGGATCAGAACGAGAACTGCGGAACCAACAGTCACCATGAGGAGTACTGTACCTGAAAGATAGGTCCAGTAATGCTATTATTGTTCCTCCAAACTCAGGCTACTTGATCTACACATCGATTATTTAAATAGCCCATTCCATCTCTCGAGTACTCAGGATTTTATACCCCCGCAGGCCATCGATTCTACTTGTATCTCAAAGAGATTATAGTCTTTGTTTCCTTTCTCCACTGCCAGGATGTCCACTCTTGTATCTTTCTCCGACAGACATCCACTAGATGATGTATATTCTTTCAATGTTGACGCTGTTTCGGGCATTTCCAGTCAGACTGAAAACTTCAGTCTCCATTACCCTGTTCAAGAGGAATCACTGGCCTTTGCAACCGATCGGACGGCTACTACATACCCATCGCAAGACCTTGCTTTCGATACAGTCTCGCAATCTTGTTGGCATTTGCCAGTGTCTGCAGTGTCTCAACCAGCATTTAGACCAGCTCTCCTTCCTGTTAGTCCAGGTACAGAGCCATCCCTGAACCAGCTCCGAGACAATCAACATTTTGTGGAGAGCCGCTTTCGCCAATCGCAAGGCTATGTCATTGAGCACGGCGTGCAGGGAGGCTCAATTCCACCCTTTATGGATCAATTCCTTTCTCTCCAGTCTGTGCACCAGGACGAAGTCAAAACGTAGGTTCCCCCGCTGTCAATGGTACAGCCGCTAATTGCTCTCGCTTGTAGGCTACCTCTTGAAAACGCTCACCTTGTGTGCAAGTGGGAGGGATGTACCTGGAAGAGACCGTTCAATAGAAAGGCGGACCTATCTCGTCATGTTGAGTCGATGCACATTGCTCCTCGCTCGTACCGCTGTCTAGTTGAGGGGTGCTCTAGACTTTTCAGCAGGAAGGACAGACGCGATGCACATATGCTGCAACGCCATTTGGTCTCGAGGATGCAAAGGCAGGCTGAGGTGTAGTGCCCAGTCCATGAAGAGTGTTATGAGGCTTTGCTTTGCAAGCATTTCCATGTCTGCGCTTTGACTGTTAGGGACTTCCTTTTATCCTTTCTTTTTTCAGTGGCGATCTATAAGTTTCAGCTACATCAATCAAGAAAGACGATCAAGGGACAGTCAAAAGATGAAGAAACCGTCTCTATAGTGAAGTAGGGAATACTTCCACGGTCATGCCTTAGGACCAACTAGCTGACGAGCATGAACATCACCAAAGACTCATAATACTGTAGTCGGCATTGTTGGGGAAGTGAAAGGCAGGTTATCTAGTTACTCGATAGTTGTTATAGTCAAGTGGCGATTGCATGCCACTTAGGTGCATCAATCTGTCGGGCAGCATTAACTGGCAACTGTATGAGTATAAGCAAAAGTGCCAGGATGAAACCTGTTCAATTAGACGCAGGGTCCAGCCCGAAGTATCGCGCGCAAAGGCCCGGTGACATAGATCCTATACTACTCACGGAGAAAATGAACGGTGAAAGGAAGAGATTGTCATGCCTTTGCTATCCCGTGTCACTTCTTACTGGTGAGGTGGTGGGCTTTCATCCAATGACAACCGATGATAATATAATACATGATGAAAAAGGCTAGTTATAAACCATTCTACCACTCGACTAAAAACAAGGTGTCACCTCAACACTTTCTAGCGTAGTAGAAATAGTAGTGCAATACGATGTTGTTTCAAGCGCTTGAGGCTCTGGCCACATGCGTCGAGAATCCATGTAGGACAGTTGATTGAGTCGCTGCATGATTGTCCCCAAATTATTTGATATGATTCCGACTGCCTAAGGTGACACAGACGATGCCGGAATATCAGGGACATGGGGATGTTTACCGGATTCGAGGTGAAAACCCCAGAAATGTCTTCCTCCCTCTGTTCCCCAGCCACACTTGGGCACGAATCAGGGTCGTATAGAATCTGACGATGATTGGCCTGTCTATGCTTGGACTCCAAGTTGTCGGTGCCTGATGAGGCTGTGCACTTGACGATAGATGGCTTTGTCAGCTATGAAAGCAGTGCTGTGGTGGCATCTTCCCTCTTGAAAGCTATTGTGTACATACACATCGAGTCCACCTAAACATGCGTAAGAATAAGCATAAACCTACCTGAAAAGTTTACAGCAAGGCTCAAGAAAGACAACTTGCTGTGCGGACTGTTGAGGTAGTAAGTTACCATGGCGGCTCATGAGCGTTCTAATATCATGTCGTGCACGGATTTGACGGCACATATACACTCTCCAAACCGTTGCTACATACCTACGCTGTTACCCAAGCCGTCGTCAAGTGCACCTTCTTGCTGAAGACGGAGCAACGGCAATACCCAACAGAGATCTCGCGTTTCCCGGGACTCTCCACGCAAATTTCGATCCATGGTGGGAGGGACCAGGGGGGAAAATTCCTAATCGTTGCATGGTAGACTTACAGCGGCCATTTTCTTCCCTCTCTTAACCTTCGCTCGTTTCGCTGACGACCATGTCTTATGTTTAGGACGACCTTCTGTGTGTATTCGAACTTTCAATCGAAAGGACACGAATGCTTTTCCTCGATCGAAGAGCCAAAATTTGATATATGGAATCAATCAATCGCTCATTGCTTCGTTGCAACGACAGAGTCCATCATCCATAGAATCTGTCCGGGACGACCCAATTATATGGCCACTACTCGAATGTCAAAAAAACAGAAACCTTGTGCGGAAATTGAGGGATGGTGCTGGAATGCAGAAAAGCATAAGACTGAAATCTCCAATGAGTGGCAGTTTGACATGATATACGAATACGAATGGGTACGAATATCTATATATACGACTTACCTGTGATTTTTCGGCTCGGATCGGCAGTTCGGTAAGTCCTCGTTCCCTCCACATCCATGTTTGATAGGAACTCTATTCCATGAAAGCATTCCATCTGTAAACGAGTTGCGATATGGGATATCAATGGTGGAACAGGTAGAATGCTACAGCCCATGGGGGTTTTGGCGATATTACGACAAGTTCCGACCCATCAACATACGAGGGGACTGCAAGCAGGACATTGCTATGGAAAGGGAAACTAGACGGTATTCTCCTCCGTAAGGCTCAGCTGTAGGCCATGCTTTAGGCTCACGGGACGGGATGCTTGTTGACTGGAAGGACCGATAATCGCCTCCGCATCTGAACGCGCCGTTGTTGATGTGGCGTTTGCCAACCAACAAGGACCCGGAGATTTCTGCGCTTAGAGCCCCAGACTTTGCTGAACCGCTCCCCATGGGGATATTCTATCCTCGTGCTCAATGGTTGCAGCATCGGACCGAGAGCATCCCTGCCCTTCGGTTTAATTCGTACCGAGTGCGCTTTGCATGGGCAGGAAGACACAATGGGAATTGATAAGCTGACCATTTCCCGTTGTTGCAGACAGGATGCTCTGATACCAGCACCATCGCTGCATTTCTCATTCTTACTGACATTCTGGGTTCTCGCTCCCGCTGGCCAACATGTGGCGACGCCAAATCACCGTTGATGACAAGGCCATCACCGATGGTGTTGGCATCACTCTGAAGCAATCTCTCTTCCCATGCTTGCTCGGTAAGCTCAGGCCTGAATCAGAGCTCAGGATTCTCTTGCTGATAGCGTCCTCCAAGTGACCATTCTTTTCTTCCTCTGGGGCTTTGCCTACGGTCTTCTCGATGTCCTCAATTCCCACTTCCAGTCTGAACTCAATATCACTGCCAGCATGGCATCGGGGCTGTCAGCCGCATACTTTGGCGCCTACTTCCTTTGTCCCTTGACCATCTCTGGATGGATTCTCCGCCGGTTTGGCTTCAGAGTGACTTTTATGACTGGGTATTCTTCATTTTCAGATCTGTCGGATGCAAAGGTGACTGACCCCGTCAAGCCTTGCTGTTCTAGCAGTCGGCTGCCTTCTCTTCTGGCCTAGTGGCGTCAAAGCCTCCTTTGGCGGTTTCTGCGGCAGCATGTTCGTCGTCGGCGCAGGTCTCTCCACCCTCGAAACCGGCGCGGATAACTTCCTCTCCATCTGCGGCCCTCCCCGGTACTCGGAAATCCGTCTGAACCTGGCACAGGGTGTGCAGGGTATCGGGTCGTTCGTCGCACCCTTGCTCGCCTCCCGCGTCTTCTTCGCCAAAACCGTGGATACAAAGCAGGGGCTGAAGAACGTGCAGTGGGTGTATCTTGGCGTTGCCTGCTTCGTGGTGCTGCTTATTATTTTATTCTACCTGGCGCCTATGCCCGAGGTGACAGACGCCGATATGGGGTTGCAGGAGCAGGATATCTCCAATGAAGAGGTCAAGCCCTTCAAGAAACAGTACAACCTTTTCCTTGGAGTGTGGAGTCAGTTCTGCTACGTCGGCGCCCAGGTCGCTGTTGCAAACTACTTTATGAACTTTTGCCAGGAGGCGGGGTATAGTCCCGCGACTTCTTGTAAGGCTTCTTGGTCCCTCCTACGTTAGCCTTCTGACATGATGCAGCCAATCTGCTTGCCGTCGGCCAGGGCCTCTACACCTTCAACCGTTTTGTTGCTAGTGGCTTCATGACCGTCGGCTTCAAGCCACGATACATCCTCGCCGTCTACCTCGGTCTCTGCTTCGTCTTCAGCCTCGCAGCTACCCTAAGTCGCGGCGTCGCCAGCGTCGCCATGCTGATTCTGGTTCTTTGCTTTGAGAGCGTATGTCCTAGCCCTCGCCCTACTGCCTCGTGAACTGCCCTCTAACAACGACAGGCCTGCTTCGCAACCATCTTCACCCTCGCGCTCCGCGGCCTGGGAAGCCACACCAAGCGCGGCGGCAGTATGCTCGTCGCCGCCATCTCAGGCGGCGCGGCTATCCCCCCCATGACTGGAGCGGTGGCTACCAAGACCGGCAACTTCCACACGGCCATGGCGATCCCGACGGCGTTCTATGTTTTGGCGTGGGTCTTTCCCGTGTATGCCAACACCGTCAGCAGGAAACTGCTTGATGGGCACCGAGCGACAGAATTGAATGTTAGTGTGACTCCTACGGCTATGGATAAGAACATGCAGTTGGAGATGGAGCGTGTGAACTCAAAAGCGGGTGGGGAGGTTGTTGAGACTGTTGGTGTCTAGGTTTCTCTGCCGAGGATGATAACATCTATATGATAACGGTAGCGATAATGGATTGGCATCTAGACCTCAGAATATAATATATCGTATCTGGCAAGCCTCTCTATCAACGAGCTGTATATCGTAACGTTCCAGTTGCCGGCGAATTCGCGCTATGTACCGCGACTTGGATCTGCCGAAGATCTGCCGTAGAGTACCCAGCCACATATTGGCATTCTAGACCATCTTCAAGTTAAGATGTTTAATTGTGAGAGAAAGTGGTAGACTCATGTCAAGCTTCAACCCCGCACTTTGGCCATTCGGGAAGTGGAGAGACGTGTCTATATCTCGGGGGAATAATGGCCGAGGTCTCTACTTTGTATACTCCATCAACTGTTTCATAGAATCTTGCTCAGATGCTGGTCAGTTGTATTTTGCAATTCTGCGGTATGGGACGCCGGAGAAATATGCCTTTCAGCGGGTAGACCAGACAAAATATACATACGCACGGGAAGAGATTTGAAGTTGCTTGAAAAGCGGCAACAAAGATTCGCATCTCATTCTATATGAACATTCTATATACACTTTTTCGTCTACATCTATGTGATATGTGAAGTTGCTCAAACTGTGCTTTTGTCAGTGGAAGACCTGTCCTACCCAAGACCTCGGCAGGGTTCCTCGCAAAACGAACCCAGTTAACAGAAGACACGTAACCGTTGTCGTTAGCGCACTAAGTACGCAATATCAACTGCAGATGGCGTTGGTACAACAACAGCCACGGCGAAGCACCGAGTCGTATCAGACAGGTCCGCTCAATCCCGTTTCAAGCCAACCTTACCCGCCTTCCGCAGCCCAAAGTACCCAAGAACAGTGCAAAGAATCATGAACCCAAACATGGTCCAGAAACTGGCCCGGTATCCAGCCATCAGCGCACCGGGCTCGTCACCGCCAGACTCCTCCGTCACAACCGTCGAGATGACCTGCAGGATCGCCAGTCCCAGGGCGCTCCCGAACTGCGCTGCCGTGTTGAAGACGGCACCCGCCAGGGCCTGTGTGTCGTCCGGGAAACTGTTCGTGATGATGATGAGGCCGACGGTGTAGAGCGCGTCGAAGCTGATGGGCTGCAGGAGCTGCGCGATGAAGGCGTTGCCCCAGTATGGCCAGGAGGGCTGGACGACGGCCATGAGTAAGGGGGATCCGGCGCAGAGGAGGGAAGTCGCCGTTGCAATCCAGAATGCGGGAACTTTGTGTACGAAGACTCCGATGACGAGGTTCAGGAGGACGCCGACTATGAGGCTGGGGAGGATGCGGACGGAGGCGTCTAGCGCCGAGAGGCCTTGGACCTCTTGGAAACTGGGTCGGGTTAATGAGGGATGGGCCGACGGGGCTAGGGAAGGGCTTACAATAAGCTGGCGAAGAGCTCCATTGAATTCACGACTGCTGTTGAGATGGCGAGGATAGCGCAGATGCTCGAAAAGGCTGTGTTCTTCCACAGTGAATTGGGAATGAGAGCTGGCTTGTTCCTCTTGGCCTGATAATGGACCCAGCCGACAAATGAAGGAAGGGCAAGGGCAGCCAGGCACAGAATGATGATGCTATCGGCAGATTTTATCCGTGAGGGATTGGCGCTCAGGATACTATTCTTCGGGTTAGCTTTCGAACGAGGTCATGACGCAGGATGACCTACGCTAGGAGATAACAGAGCAATGCCATGAATGCGGAAGCCAGCCCAGCCCCAACCCAGTCGATCTTAGTCCTGATGTTGTGAAGGAGATCTGAGTAGTGCGTGCTCTTGCCCCGAGGCAAAGCCCAGAGACCGACAGCCGCGAAGAAGAGCGTGATACCGCCAGAAAGATACCACCCCGATCTCCAGCCGATGGTATCGACAAGGATACCCCCGACGACCAGGCCCAGCGAAAATCCAAGGGGCTGGCTGAGCCCCAAGCACGAGAAAGCGACATTGCGACCTCTTCCTGGAGGTAGAAGCTGCGTCACGATGGAGATCGAAGAGGCCAAGTGCATCGCGAGACCGACACCCTGGAGTGCTCTCAAAACCACCAATTCCTGCCCTGTCCGAGCCACGCCTTGACCGATCATCAATGCGCCGCTGGCAAAGGAGCCGACGAGTTCGACCCATCGCGGACCAACAGTGTCCGCCAGGGACCCCGCCAAGAGAAGCGTCGAGGCGGTCGCGAGGCTACTCACCGAGGAAGGCCAGAAGGATAGAGAAGGGGGAAGCTGGAGATCCTTGGTGATAGTTGGCAGACCGACAATCACAAGCCCATTGATCACGCTGGCCGTTAGAGTCACCGCGAAAAGCTGGCTGAGCACCACGATCTTTTGCAACTGCGATTTTTGAGGGGCTGGCCGCCCATTTTCTGGGGAGCGAAGATTGCTCTCTTCCAATATGAGAGAGTTGATGGGTGTGATCGTCGCAGTCGTCGTGGTAGACATGTTGCCAACTGCAGAAGAATCGCTACAGTTGAAGGTTCTACACTGACAGGACGGAGGGGTATGTATGACTCTCGGAGGACCGGACTACGCCCTACGAAGTACATTTTTTCTTTCTTTCCGGGGAAGCGAGACTACTAAGAGACATGGCACGCGACGCTAGCGCACGCTAAGAGCCTAGAACTGCGGAAATTAGGCAATAGAAATGCATCGAGAAACATGGTCACGGAACCTGCCGATTCACATATTGGAGGCTCGGCTGGGGTATCCCACATTATTGTAAGCATCGAAGGTCTCGATCTATTCAGCCCTGGACCGTATACATGATCAATCCTACAACCTTCTAAAATCCAACTTACTAGTGCATATAATGACTGTGTTGATTTGAGTGAGCCTGTGGATACAGTCATGTGACCGAGGAAAAGTTAGCAGCTCCATTACGTATTTGGTTCCATGTTCCAACATTGACTTGCACAGTTCATATTGCACAAGAATTTGCCTCCTTTTCATTGGTTTTAGGCTTTGCAATAGTGGTATCTGCCCCTCGTGCGGGGGATATCACAACTTTGATATGTAAACAGAGCCGTACTTTATATTCCCGGGTCTATTGACATGGCCATGGCGTATCTGTTAGTTGTCCTTGAATCTTCAGTCGTTAGGCTCCTGGGAACATGTCGAGCCGTACAATAATGCGTTATGACTGTGGATTGCCCGACAGACCGGCAACTGGTAAGACAGGCATGTCCCAACCCAGGCGCCTTGACAGCATCTCCGGTGTCACCCCACTAGGGCATCTTGAGTCCGCTCTGATAGCCGAGCCAGGCGGACTAGTAGCAGGGAACCTTGTGAGTTTGGTTGGCGTGCCCGAGGTGGTCCGAACCCTCGAACGTTAATTACCCGATTCCAGGTTCTAGTTCTACTACGGACAGCCCTCAGCCATTGCTCTCGGACTGAATGGCAAAGCGGATCAGTTGATCTGTCCTTTTTTGTGATGACTGTTTCTCGGTCGTACTTGAGAGCTCACTTGCTGCCCGCTGATGCAAAGTTCGATCAATGTTCAACGGAAGGAGCCGGTCGGTCACAACCGACAGTGACAACGCGAAGAAAGAACGTCCGAGAACTGTACCTGTCTCTCATCTCACTCGACCCTTCCCGGAACAATGATGCTATGCAGCGAATATGATACCTGCTCGCTCGCCCTTCTTCACCTGGTCCGATTGAACACTGTTCCTTGGACCTGCGCTGGCATTTTCAGTATCTACCCGCTAGAATGTAAGTTGTCAAATCTGGCTTTGTCGCTCGGATCCGCTATTGTATTCATTGCGCACTCTACAGGAGGTCCGCCAGTAGCCCAGCAGACACAATGGATCGCCCGTCCACCGCTCTCAATGAGTACACAGACGGTATGCTCAATGTTCCCCCATCAACGCATGCTGATAATCACACTGACAACAACAGACAACCGGCGGTGCAGACACTGCAATCTAACCGGCCACATAGCCCCTCGTTGTCCGCTACGACCGCTGCCAACCTCCGTGAGGCAAACCACCATCACTTCTCAGCAACCGAGTACAACCAATGCACCGCAGCGGGGCCATACGTCGAATACTACTCGGCATGGCCCTAGTGGCACCACAACTTCCTCCCGGGAGATCCGTCATCATCACTTCCTGGACCAAGGAACTCATCAAATTATCCATATCGACATCGGCGGGAATCTCCCGGTTGTGCATACTACCCAGGTGCGGGACAGACCGAAACGCAGACGTAGGAAGAGACCGAACAAGTCGGCAAGGAGGGCTCGAATGGCCACAGAACAGACCAAGTCTCAGGATCCTACCCCAGCAGTTGCAAAAACCGAGGAGAATGATGAGAAGATGATCCAGTGAGGGTCTGTTATCTTCGTGGCGTAAGTCAATCAATGTGCAGATGTGGTCATCCACTTATTACAATGAAGCTGGAGGACAAAGATTGCATTATTTAATGTTTAAATACAGTTCTTATCTTACAAAGAAGGCATGGGAATAGATTAAGGAAGAGTCTTTTACAGACAGAATCCAACGCATGTACTTAATCCTAAGAGAAAGAAATGAAGCACTCACCCGCCCCAAGGCATACTCCTGCCGCTGAACAATCATGAATCTACTTCAATAGGAACACGCTATGGAAGCTAAGCCTTTTAGCTAATACCATCCATAGTTATCGATTATGGCATGAGTCGGAGCGGTCCATCCATGCGGCTGACACCAAACACGGGGAGAAAGCGGACAAGCCCAAAGCTTTCCACGCCTTTATTACTTCAAATCTAACCTGCTAGCTACAATGATGGCTGAATTGTCATGTTGCGTTGCACCCGGTCGAAAGTCGATAGCAATAGATTCTCTTGCAAGAGCCAGACAATCATCCGCTATGCTGTTCAAGGTGCTCGTGGGAAGGTTTCGTCGCCTGGCTGACCAAGTCCACCCTGATGTCCATTATGACACTATAGAAAGGATTATCTCATCAGTTACATCTGCAGACAAAACATTGAGATTCTCACAATGGGATTGACCAAGACCATTGTGACAACCGGTGACATAAATAGTTAGCGTTGAGGAGGACCAGCCTGGACGAAGCGTCTGGTCTTGGGTTCTCGTTTGATTAGCCGCAGAATCTCCGGTCAGATGTTTTACCTAGTATTAATGTCTTATTCGTGGCCTCGCGTGTCAAGGGAATGAGTCGAGCTTCACTCACCAGCAGTACTCATATACTTCAGAGACAGTAAACAGAGACTATTGATATCACTCCGACCGCGTCATCCCTCCAGCGTGGAACATCTCGCTATTGAACTTCATGTGCAGCAATGCTCAGCAGATTGTTAAGGCTAATGCTTGAACAAAAATATTCATTTATACATGCAGTCATCAAATCACAGGATTCAGCCATTCTTGATGATTACAGCCAGTCAGTGACCATGGGATGTCCGGAGCAATCACCAGTACTTCCACATACAGTCTCATGAGATCAATGACTGTCGAGGATTAAGCGGATTGAATGTAATGTCTCTTCATTCCTAAAGAGTCATAATACTCAGTAATGTTGAATCCACTAATATCCTCGAGCTCTTCGAGTGCAATCTTCTTCACTTGATCCGGTACAGAGACACTTAGCTCGACGACACCATGTTGGCACCTCTCCCATTGTAGGGCACTCCAATCTCAATCTCCGCATACGGCTCGTTCGCCACATTGTTAAGGACAAGGGTGGAAGTGTGCTCAAACATATACTTCCATGGTACAATCCAATATATCGAAGTAGTCGCTGTAATCTTGCAGAATACAGACCCTCGCGACAGCCGGTTTCATGGACGGCACGCGCCGAAGAAGCTCCATGCAAGTCGCGACATGAGGAAAAGAAGGGTACCAGATGCAGCAAGGGAACTCGTCGGGGTCACTCATATCAGGGATCTTATCACTCATGATCTCTCGCGTTCAATGCACGAGTGAATTTGGGCAACATCCACGAAGGTCCGTGGCAAAGCCAGGATGGTATCGAATTCCACGCACGACACATAGTCGAGTGATTTCTTCTCCCAGAGCTTTCGGGATTCGTTGGCCACGAACAGGAAGCAGACAATCCTCTTCATTGTATTTCTTGTTACAAAGACTGTCGCTGGAGATGAGACCTATGGTGAACGGCATAGACAGGGAGAAATGGGTCAGAAGACGAAGCCGGGGGGTCAGGGAGCGGCGGAGAGAGAAGGGGCCAATATCGCAAAGCTGGCAGTGAATGTAACCTTGACAGGGGATCCTATCTACATTTATTATGCGTTGATCTAATGGTTTTACTCGATTTGAGACTCATCTATCTCTTGCGAGGAAGAATCAAGCCCCATACCAGGGAGGATGAATAACAGGATAAAAGGAAGCTGGTAAGCATGTTAGCAGGGCATTGTGTAAGGGTAGTAGGGTATACTCTAAAAGCAAGTTAAATAGAATATAGGTTAATGCATATATAAGCAGCAGAAGCAGTCAAGGCTATTTGCTAAGTAACACCGAAGGAAAAAGCAGTTTATGACAGAATCCTGCGACATTCTATTCCAGCCAGGCCTCTACAGCCTCCTTGAGAGTACTCAACAACCACTCCTCCTCCAGAGGCACCTCAACGTCAAATCCATGATCTCCCTCCCGCAGCGTCAAAATAATCTTATTGCCACCTGGCTTCCCCTTCATGACCTCCCGCGCCTTTGCAACAAACTTCTGACTCTGCTCCACCGGCACAATCGCATCCTGCAACCCATGCATAATCGCAATGCCTCCACGCGGGATCCTCGCATCAGGCTAATCAAGCCACTCAAGCGGGTACCGCACTTCCCGCGGCGAGTCCTCCGCGCCATCTTCGTAGAATTGTCCCAGACCACCGTAGTATAGGGCCGCTAACATCAGATCGAACCGATCCGGTAGAAGCGCCGACGAGCGGATCGCGCTTCTGTCCATTTGAGCCAGATAGGCATCCACCGTGGATGCAGGTACATCCGGTAGAGGCTCCGATTTCGTAGCGGTGCGGAAATACTCCGATGCCATGTCGACGCAGGGATAGGTAGCCGTCGTGGCGCGCACCTCGTCTGCGTGTGCCAATCCAAAGCAGATACTCAGTAATCCGCCTGCTGAGTCTCCGGCCGTCAGGATCCGGTCCAGGTCGAGCTGTGTTGGCGTGGGGGACGTTGCGAGCAGCTCTGCGACGGTGGACGAGTGCAGCCAGGCCCAGAAATCTTCAATGTCGGAGAATATCTCCGGGCTGGTGGATTCGGGGAGGAGACGGTAGTTTGGGCTTACGATCACTGCGTCGTGCTTTTTAGCGAGCTGCAGGAGCCAGATGGGGAACCATTCCATTAAGAGGGAGTCGCCGGTTATCTGGGCGTGTGTTAGTGGTGCAAAGTCCAGAAAGGGAAGTAAATCCTACCAGGCCTCCGCCGTGGAAGCGGACGATCACTGGGCGTTTGCCCGTGAATGTAGACGGGGGGATGATAAAGTCGGCGCGGATGGGATGGTCTCCAACCTGTTTATAGTGTGTCTGGATCAGGTTGAAGCCAGTCAGTTTTTCGTGAGTTTCGACCGAGCCCATTTTCAATGACAGGTGTGAAGAGCTTGAGGTATTGAAGTGAGATGGTTCTTGTTTGGGAGTTATCTCGGTTTCGGTGTTTACCGGGCTCTATATATTTCTACAGATGATTAACCTGGACTTATAATCAACACGGCTAAGAGTGACACGGAGATATCCCTCGGAGACCTTTGCAACTACTCCGTGTTTTGATCGTTTGCATATTTTGCAAACCGTTGTAGACCAATTATCGGTGTAGCTCTATATTAAAACATGGTGAAAGGAGCTAGAACAGGACTAGGACACTCCGCAGTGTGAGACAAACATACATTTGTTCGGTTTGCCCAGTTTAGCTATCGGACAAACTAGGACAATCAGGCATCCAGATTCCATCCGAGTCAGCATGTGCCAGGTATGCAGTCTGCTCTGTCATCCAAGTCAACCCTCATGAAGAGTTACTTTTATTCAAGGCATCTTTCGAGGATCCCTTAGATGACCGCCACCGAGTCCACCAGTTGAATTTGACCATGTACTGTGTGAAAATCGGCCGCATGTTGATCAGACAAGCAGCCACAATACCGACGGCTGGTTCGATGCACGTCCACACACTAGACTGGACTTGATTATCTGCGACTGTCAGCATATCCATACTGTTAGCGGTGAGAGACATACAAGTAATATCATCCCCAGCCTTGGAAAGCTCAATCAGCGTGATCAACCGGACAATATCAAATACCAAGGTCCTACACCGTTAGCAACCTCTCGAAAGCTATAGGGGAGAGCAGGACGACATACAAGAAACCCAAAGCAAAGATACCAGAAAGCAAAATCTTCTGGGTCTTGGAAATGTGCAAATCCGCCACCGCTTTCATCGGCATGATGATGATGACCGCGTCGGTGACGATATTGGGTATCAGGAGCCCATAGTAGAACTTGGCCAGATCAATGCATCCCCCGGGTGTCATTGGTTCCCACAACTTCCAGAAGGGAATACAGATCACGGCGCCGATGAGACACACTCCGAAACACCAGAGGACCACGACGCAGGCGACAATATTTGAGGCAAGGACCATGGGCCCGCAGGAGAAGATTGCGTTTGTATAAAGCGAGCATGGAAAGCTTGATGCAGGCGATGCATAGGGGATAGAGGAAGGCGCCGGATGACAGGGTCTGCCATACTAGTTCGTTAACCTTGATGGTTTGATGCTTGGTGAGAAAATTTACCTTTAGGTATACGACCAGATTCTCTGGGGGGACGTCGATGATATGAGTTCCAAGGCCATTGTATAAGACTGCTTCGTTAGTTGAGGGTCCTTTTCGCGTATTGCATAGGAGTAACTCACGGACGATACCAGCAATAGAGATCCCGTAAAGGAAGAACTGAGTCCATATCAGTAAAGAACGCCAGCTATGGAGACAAACCAACCAAAGCCCCCAGAATCAAGTAATCGTCCAGGAAGAACTTAGTCTTCGTAATCCCTCTCACCCATAGACGCAGCCCAACGGCAACAGTGGAGAGAGTAAAAGCAAAGCAGGTAGCAGTAATGACCACATGGCGCAGATTATCCTGGTCGTAGCCCATTTCAGCAGGGCTAACACTCAGACTCGAGGTTTTCGAAGGTATACTAACGGGTATTGAAAGATTTATGGCTGATGAGCCAGGTAAGTCGACTTTTAAGCACACTGAACCCCTCAGACATTGTCATGGGTTCTTTGCTATGAGAGACGAGGAAAGATCGTCTCAAGTCTCCTGGTTGCGGTCATTGGAGAATAAGATTTCGAGCTATCATATTGGACTGAAGGTGACTAAGATCATTTGGAAAGATGTTGAAGCTGAGAAGAGTAAAATTGAAAGACATGGTCGGTTCTGAACTTCTGTACCTCATAGACTTGTTCATATCATATTCTAACATTGACAGCCGCCTATCCATGTAAGGTAGAAATTTCGACATATCCATGATGAGGTTGAGATGAGATGGGTAACATCAGCTTCATCTCGCCTTGCGGGAAGTCTTCAAGCAACATTTGGGCGATTCTCGACAAATTGTGAAGGCCTCCATGAGTGTCGATCACTTTGGTATCGACCTGGTACCCTGGTGCTGCATGATCCACAATTCTGCAACTGCATCTGCATATAGCTCCTTTCAATTGTTTTGCGCTTTGAGACACCTTCGTTCGACAATTGACAGGTGTAAAGTCATTTGCAGAAATCAGAAAAACGAGTCCAAGGTCGGTGATATATCTGATATCTCATTTGGCGTTGACAGATCGCACCAATGATTACTCCTCGATCTTTCAATCGATCTACAGAGATCGGATAATGATCATTGACGTCTTCTTAACGCAAGGGGTGGTCACTATGACTGGGCAATCGATCGTTATTTCAATGAAGACGGCAATGCATGCCTTGACTATGGAGGACTCGCTTGTTATTTCAATATATTCATTCATTTCTTACCAAACTATTACGTACTTCTAGAATCATCCGGGGTATTTGCGAGCCAGCCTTTCACAGCACCAAGACAAAATATGCAGATGTTTCCCATATCACGACGGACAACCACCATGAGAGCTCAGAAATAGTTGGGATCGAGCCAGCGGGGGTCCACCATAGGAACTCCCTCAAGCTGAAGATATACGTCCTGGTTCCATCCTGCTATGCTAGTTTCAATAAACTCCCTACTCCAACCCCAATCCCCGGTATCAGCTCGACGTGCGCTAGCAGGAATCGTCGATTCTCTGATCCTGTCCCGGACCGTCTGAGCCACCATACTCCGCCAGAAGCCATTCTTCGGTCTGCAAAGCGTCTCGCAGTAGACCTCCCACAGCCGGGGCAGAATCAGAACGTTTTGCAAGGAGTATTCGAAGATTTCCCGTCTGAGGGGTCGCTCATTGAACACGGCGTCGCTTCCTCCCTTTGCCGGATCACGTAGTCGATTCACGGAGCTGTGCACCTGCTTCCACAGCGCGAGCACCCTGGCGGGAGGATGCGCGTCCTTCTCAACGCACGTCTCCCAGCTTGCAGCCTGCTCTTGGGAGTGCGGATATCGCGTCGCGAGTTCCATGACCTGGAGGTCTTTGATACCGTTCAGGCGGATCCCGTGGCGGTTGAACAGCGCATGAGAAATGTTTCCGATGTCGAAAAAGACCTTTGCCATGGCGCCAGATTCGAGCAGGAGCTTAAGCGAGTTGTCTGCGAGACTGGTGGTGGTAAATGTGTCCTCGCCCAGTGTAAGCACGTCAATCAGAAAGACCGTTTTGATAGGTCGTACGAAGAGGGAGATGATTGAGATCGAGCCGTCTTGCCCAAGATTTGTTCCTTGCACGTCGAAGAACAGAGACGAGGGTCGATGCGATTGGTAATCGAGCTCGTTTAGTAATTTCTCCAGATCACCGATCGAGTCGATCATCTGTACATGGGGGATCGCGGTTTCGGATGCCATCGTTGATGTAGCCATATGGCTCCGAGACGAGAACGGTCTGCTTGTTTGGTATCTTCAGGAAGGGGTTAAACAATCTGTTCGATTTGCGTGGGCCTGAATGTTTATAATTCAAGGACGTGTAAGTCGCATCACAACTTCACTTCTATAAGCATTCGATAAAGGTACCCGAGTTGTTGAGGACCACGGGTTGCAACCTGAGTTGGACCTGGATCCTGGGTACAGCCATCAGATAATAACAGAGGAGGCAAAGGATGTGAAAATGAGCTCATCTTGCGGAATATTCCGCAAGTGTATAACCTATAATGCTAAAATTTGTTAATTCAGCAGGACGAAGTGAATATCAGGATGTGAATTCTTTCTCACCTAGTCAGGTATAATGTAAATCAAAGCAACCATCCTTTGACATTTGAACCTGCAAAATCTTCAACTACTTGTTAGTATGCTTTTTGTGCCGTTGAACATGCCAGAATATGAGAGGCGATTGCAGCCCAGCGGTACGATGGATAAATCTCCTGGATCTGTACATTATCGTCCTTCCTCGGCCATATAGGACAGGCCAACCTGAGCGCTCTTCGGCCAAGTACATAGCCCTTTCTGGTTCTGATGGGCTGAGTTCAAGGATTACCTGGAGCAGATCAAATAAGCTATTACCACCAACATTTAAATATCATGGAGTTAGCAATCTGGGTGGGACGCATCCCTGCTCATTGAATATAATCCAGAATTAGTGGTCTCTATATTCGCGTCGAGCGCGTCTTCAAAGCTCTAGCTGCAAGACTGATAACAGACTAACTGACCATTACAATCGACGTCACCGATCGGAACTACAAAGTAGAGGTTCTGCTAGAGAACCCTCGACATGAGGTCTTTCGAAGCTCAGACCCTGAATTAGCCTTTTCGGTAAAAAGCGTATCAAAGTAAGACATGAGGGTTTCGGATTGACCCGATGGTTTATGCTTTAGCCTCTCTCGTCAAGGGACTTGCCCGTAGTGTGTGGACGAAACAGTTGTGAAACGCCGGCGGCAGCTACGGGGCAGAACATCAGGGTCTGGACAGCTGAATCCATGCAATCATGAATGTACGAACAGACGATATCTACACTAGATTGCTAGAGGTATTTTGCTTTGGGGAATGTGTCTACTGTCGATAGAATAACAACGTAACTCTCACTTGATACCAGCGCCTGCGCGCAATATATCTAGCTAGAATAACCGCTCAACGCTCCGTCAATCGGCGGGAGCATATATTAGATACAGGAAATAAAAGTTAGACGGTCAGGCCCAATGTACACCTCGCATGGTCTGCTTAAGCCTTAATGCACTGGTGGTAGTAAGGGTTCCACTGCTTGCAGACGAGACCAGACTCGCAGGCCGTGGCGCCGGAGTAGTTCAGACCACCGCACTGCTGCCAGATCTTGATGGAGCCGCTGGTGCTTCCGGAGCCAGAGGAGCTGGAGTTGGAAGCGGAAGCGGCGGGAGCAGCGGCAGTGGTGGTGGGTTTGGTGGCAGTGGCGAAGGTGGTGGGAGCGACGTAGGTGCTGGTGGAGGAGGTCTCGACGGCGGCCTGCTGGGTGCTCACGGAGGTAGCGGGGGCAGCAGTGGTGGCGGGAGCGGTGGAAGAGCCAGAGGAAGAGCCAGAGGAAGAGCCGTCCCAGACAGCAGGGCCGGGGATGGGGTAGCTGGTGAAGGAGGTGTAGATGTTGAAGAGAATGCCGGGGTCGGTGGCTGTGTAGACACCGGGGATGGAGACACCCTCGGGAAGGGTCTTGGTGCCGTCCGAGGTGACCTTGACCTGGACACACTCCATGTAGAGCTGGGCGCCACCCTCGCGGTTACCCTCGTGCAGGGCGATGATCTCAGGACGGAACAGGTAGTTGCCGGCGGGGACGTCGGGCACGGTGATCGAGTGCTTGCCCTTGTTGGCAATCAGAGTATCAACGGCCCATTTGCCGTTCGAGTAGCCGTCCTCAGCGATCTTGACCCAGCCGTTGCCAGCAGTGCCCTTCTCGGTGGGGGCCATGTAGACCATGACGGGACCCAGGTGGGAGGAAGCGATGATGTCGTCGGAGGCATCGCGGGAGTTGTGGTGCCACTCGAAGGTGACCTTGTCACCCGCCTTGACGGAGAGGGTCTTGGCGACAGCGTTCTTGCCGTTGACGTTGCAGGTCATGTCGGTGGAGGTGACATCGGTGATAGGGCTGTTGTTGGGGGGGGAGCGAATGTATCCGTCAGCGGAGTTTCCCAGCCCCTGATCCACGTCGTTGATCCAGACGGCGTAGACGGTGGCGTGGGCGTTGACGAGTTTAGCTGCTGCTGCCAGAGCGAGCAATCCGAAGGTCGACTTCATTTTGAAAGAGTGTTAAGATGGAAAGAGTGACTTAAATGAAGGAGACTAAGAGAAAGAAGAACGAAAGAACGGCAGGTAATCAAGGAGAGATAAATGCAGAGCGGTCCAGGCTTGGAGGAACATGTTGGATGGCGGGCAGAAGGGTTTATATAGCAATGGTGGTGATTGTAATGGAGATAGCATCAGCAGTCTAGGTGGTTCGAGCGATGGGGCCACAGGAGATGAACGAGTCCCTGCCAAGACATAAGGGTTTCTTGGCTTCCCTGTCACTAACAGTGCCAAGATGGAGTTTCATCTATATGTTTCAATGGTAGACTAGCATTAGCCATCTATCCTGTTTGCCGTTGACCTGCGAGATGCGTTGTCGGCTAAATTGAACCGGATGCCCTCCGAAGGGTCAACGGGCTCATTTACCAATAGCCCTAAGATAAAGGAAAAGTACTAGATCCATCGTTGCCGCCCAATAAGCGGCCCTTCTTTCTTTCCACGGTCCTGTGCGACGTCTGAAGTGGACAGAATCACTAAGCCCGGCGCTTCTGCTTGGTCACAGAGAAATATATTAAGTTATACTGCGTTGTCTCACTGTGATATCCTCCCTTTGCGTTTCCGGAATATCCTCCGATGCTAACAACGCACCTCGAGCTTTTAGCTGGACCTGTCTCATTTGTTCTCCTGATTCTAGGAACCGAGGGCCCTCTTTCTACTATTTCTGGCCCTTCCATCGGATCGATACAGCATTACTATACCCTGAGCCACCTCCCTACCCGTGTCCTGCAATTGGCACGGAGGGATGGGCTATGGACGATGAAACAGACCCTGCATAGGACATCTAGATAGGCAATATCCGTGAGAAATTTCCGAAAGGTGCTCCTTAGCATGTCTCTCTTCTCTAAATGAGTTGCTTGGACGATCCCAAGAGAAGCCGTCCTCTCGGCATAGTAAGCGCCACTCGGCGACTCGTGTTTCCAGAAGTGACCCCTAAGTCCTGAATCCTGATATACCAGGACTACGGGTCTCTTTGATTCTACTTGCCTTGGCCTTTTATTATTCGACTGTTCATACGGGACACCGACTCGCTATAGTACGTATTTCAAGAGTGGCTTCCAGTCGGCATCAATCTTGGAGTAGGACATACCGACCCATTCCTGCCAGGAAGACCAGACTATTCAGAGTCATTAACCTTGCTTGAAGGTGATCAGGCGTCAATCTCGCGGCGAAAACAATGTTGCGGAACGAGTGGTTCTTGTGGTAGGCTTGATTGGTAGTTATCATTGTTCCAAATATATACGTTGTCTTATTGTCGCGTAAGTGATGGACAAATGGCAAGGTTCACTAACCATAGTGAATTCCATAATTTATTATAGGATAGAATAATACCTCCTTCATTTCTTTTCCACCCTATCCGTTGTTAATTCATTTATTCTCATAAATTGAGCTGATTTGTTGCAACTAATTTTGCGGAATGACTCACAGGTTGATTATTTAAAAAACATGGTTCAAATTTCATCAAGAGCATGTTAGCTCAGGGGAAGAGCGCCGGGCTCATAACCCGGAGGTCCCTGGATCGAAACCAGGACATGCTATTCGATTTTTTCCCCCCCCCGTTTTTGATTGCTCTATTTTCCTCCATTTTGTCTCTGGGCTAGACTGCGCAATTTGGTTCATTTCCCAGTGCCAAGTCCGGCCAACTTAAGCGATTGTGCACAGTGACTCATGTGGTCAGAACTTAGTCCAGGACTACTCGCTGCCCTTCAGGTGTGTCACAAAGGACATATTCATCTCTGACGACGACAAAGTGAGAGATAAAAAGAACTAAACCTAACTCTGGCTCATGACCAATCTCATGTGAGATAGCTAGTCAGTCGGCGACGTGCATCGTCCCGGTCGCAGTTTGACTCCCATATCGGGATAACATCCAGATGCCGAGACTGTACGGAGTACAAAGCTTCGCTCTGCTTATAACATGATTGATAGTCTGTCTGATGTCTATTGAGATCGTACGCTCAAACGAGGATATTTCAGTACAATGCCAATATCTCCGTGGAGGGGAAATATTGCAAGTTCCACAACAACTCGGCGCTGGGTCGCTCAGAATCCGCGGATTGCTGCCTCAAACCGTCGGTCTCAACGCCCTGCACACGAAGTCTGATAATATGGACCCACAGTTCTTGGGCCTCTTAGTCGCACCTCCTGATCCTGCCTTTGGATTGATGGCGGCTTTCGATGCAGACAGCCATCCAAAGAAAGTCTCTTTGATCGCTGGTGCTTATCACGACGAGGAGGGACAGCCGTGGGTCTTGCCGAGTGTGAGACAAGGACCTGACCCTCTCTCAGGATTGAACATGTGGATTTAGAAGTAACAGCAACAGGCGAAAGACCGTCTCGCTCGCTCTGACTATGAATATCTAGGCATCGCTGGCTCACCCACTTGATCGACCTGGCGAGATCGTTAACTTTCGGCTCGGATATAACTAACCGGTTATCGTCAAATGTTGCCAGTCTACAGACTGTCTCCGGTACGGGTGCTAATCACCTTGCCGCTGCGTTTCTGTCGAAGCAGCTCCAGCCCAAACGAGTCTTCATCCCGGGTCCTACATGGTAAACCATAAAGCCATTTTGGCGATAGCAGGGCCAGCGGTAACGCAGCTTGAATATCCCTACGTCTCACCGTCCACTCAGTCAGTCGACCTCGAGGCAATGCTATCCTTCGTCGACGCTACGGCCGAACCGAACGACATCATCATCCTCAGCCATGCGCCCACAACCCCACCGGCATGGACCTTACAAAATCCCAGTGGATCGAGGTAGCGGAACTAGTTAAGGAAAAGCACCTCTTCCCCGTCTTCGACAGCGCCTACCAAGGGTTCGCGACGCGGGACGTTGACGGAGACGCGTGGGCTATCCGCTACTTTAGCGAGCGGATACTCTCCGACGCGGACTCGAAGTTTCCCGGAGTATGTGTCGCGCAATCCTTCTCGAACAACTTCGGGCTGTATGGTGAACGCGTCGGCGCTTTGCATTTGGTTGTTCCCCGGGGCCTGTCTGCAGAAGAAGCCAAATCCCAGTTGACCCTCATGGCGAGAGGGGAGTACTGGAATCCGCCCTAGTTCGGGGCGAGTATTGTTCAGACCCTCCTTGGGATCTGGGATTGAAGGCCCAGTGGGAGGGAGATCTGATTACGATGAGCTCGAGGATCAAGGCTATGCGGTATTTTGGTGGAAATCGGACATATCACTCGTTCTCCGAGTCGATCCGAGTCCATCGGTGGATCATGAAATGAGATCAAACCACTTTATCTCCGCATTAAATCCGGTTGTATGACGTTCTAGCAAGTATAAAGCTTCCATCGCGACATCGTAAACAATGAAGTACCAAAAATCAAAATGCCATCCATCAAAGACTCCAAAATCGTCATCTTCGGCGGCACCGCAGGCATCGGCTACGGCGTCGCCGACAAATGTCTCTCCGAAGGCGCCATCGTGCACATCTCCTCCTCCAACCCCTCCCGCATCACCCAGGCCGTCTCCTCCCTGAAGGAGAAGTATCCCGCCGGGCAAATAACAGGCCACACCTGCGATCTCTCCCTCCCCGACGTCGAGCAACGCCTCCACAAACTCTTCGAGGAAACCGGCTCTCTTGACCACATCGTCTACACCGCCGGGGACGCCTTAGCCACCAAACCGCTCAAAGACATCGATCTCCAGTTCATTCGGAACGCCGGTCACATCCGCTTCGTTGTGCCGCTGCTCGTCGCCAAACTTGCTCTGCGGGTTCTGAAGCCGGCGTATACCTCGTCGCTGGTCCTGACGACGGGGGCGGTCTCGCAGCGGCCGTACCCCGATTGGTCTGTTGTCGCCGGGTACGCGGCCGGGCTTCATGGGATGGTGCAGGGTCTGGCGCTGGATATGAAGCCGCTGCGGGTGAATCTGGTTAGTCCTGGACCAGTGAAGACGGGGTTGCTGGGGGAGGAGGTGGCAGCGATGCTGGCGAAGAAGACTACGCTGGGGAAGGTGGGCAGTGTAGAGGAAGTGGCGGAGGCGTATGTTTATTTGATGAAGGATACGAATGCGACAGGCAGCTGTGTGAGTTCAAATGCGAAGTCTTTGTTGGTGTGATTATTTTATCATCTGATATATAGAGGGGTATGTGCAGTGGATATTCCCTGCATTTGTAGATTTAATGAGACGCCGGAGTTGTCCGGTCAATAGCAAGGGATTATTATCATGCTTTTCACATGAATTATATTCTGTCCAGGCTCTGTGATAGCAGTGCAGGACCTTCATTATATAGATAACATTTGATAGAGGCAGTGGCTATCTTATCTGCCCTGTATCAAGTGGAGATAACGACGGAAATGCCCTAACGAGATAATCACACAATCTCTGATAGACCAGAGTCACCAGACGGTAACTGGAGTCCAACTTGTTACAAACACAGACTATACCGCCAGGGAGCCCATATAGTCACCCTAATTCTGGAGTCTAAGTGAAACTACCTCAACCTACTACACAATCAGATCATACCACGATGGAAGCAGTAAACGGCTTCAAACAAGACCAAGTCATCCTCCTCCCCCAGAATCGCCAACTCCTCACCTTGATGACCATCATCCGAGACGTCAACACCACAGGAACGCTCTTCACCTCGACAGTCGAGAAAGTAGCCCGTCAGCTCGTCACACTCGGTAAGCCATCCCCACGCCTGCAGGGTCCCATTCTAACCAACCCAGCGGTGGACTCTGTCCCCACGGAAAAACACACAGTCCAAACCCCAGTCGGAGAGAGCTACTCCGGATGGCGCCCAGCACAAGAAGTCTGCGGCGTGAGTATCCTGCGTGCTGGCGCGAGCATGGAACAAGCTCTCCGCGATACATGGGTGTATGCGGCCCCTGCCCCTGCCTTGAGGCTACAAAACTGACAGAGTAGTGGCCCGCTGAGTTTCGGTAATATTCTCATCCAACGAGACGAGGAGACGTCCCTTCCGCAGTTCTTGTACTGCAAGCTTCCATCGCAGATTTCGAGATGCCGTAAGAATTCGACGTGATCTTATGGTCGAGGCCAGGCTGACTGGATAGGTGTTTTGCTCCTGGAGCCGATGCTCGCGACTGGAGGCTCGCTCATTAAAGCTATTGAGATTCTGATTGAACGGGGCGTTCCGGAGCAGGAGATTGTGCTGGTGAACGTTGTTGCCTCGAAGCAGGGACTTGAGCGGGTGATGGGGCGATTTCCCTTGCTCAGAATTGTGACCGCCGCCGTGGATGAAAACTTGACGTCTAAGAAGTGAGTTGCTGCCAGTGCTGCAAAGTGAAGGTATACTGACGTCCAGCAGTTATATCAGTCCTGGGTTAGGGGATTTTGGTGATCGGTTTTACGGTACCGTGGCCTAGTTGTACTTCCGTTGTCGCGTTATACCCGAGAATATAAGGGAATGTGACCTTAGAGGATGTATCAGACGAAAGATTAACTAAGTAGCAGATTGATCATGGACAAGCCTCATCTTGCCCTGTGGATAGAAAGTTCCTCTCAGCTACTCGAGGCTTGTGACGTCCCGCTTGTCTCTTCGAAATCTGAAAGTCTAAAGAAGGAAGCTTGATTGCACTATACTAAATTCGTACCAAACAGCCTATCGCCGATATCCCCAACTCCCGGCTGAATGTATCCCTTCTCATCGAGATCAGGATCGACAGCTCCAAGAACAAACTGCGTAGACGCCGGCCACACATTCGCCACCCGCATCGCCCCTTCTCGACTCGCCAGAACAGAAAGAAAAGTAACCTTTTCAATGCCCCAGTCCCTGACCCACAATCAGTATTGTGGAACCTTGCATGGACGCAGACCGCTTACTTCAAGATACTGACCACAGCACCCACCGTTCCACCCGTGGCAATCACCGGATCAACAACAATCGCCTTCCGAACCGTCGCCGGCTTAGGCGGGAGCTTGTTGTAGTATTCGACCGGTTGCAGATTGTGCTTGTCTCGGAAGATGCCGAGGTGGTATGTGACTGTGGGTATGTTCGCGGGGATCTCCGCCATCAGCGGTTCGAACATTGCTAGCCCTGAGCGTAGGATCACCACCACGGCGATAGTTTCATTGCTTTCTGCTTTGATGGTTGTTTGGCGCGCGAGCAGAGTAGTGAGCTGCGCAATGAGGGCGCAGACTTGTGAGGGGAGCAAGCCTGGGTCTCGGAGTTTGTCGAGGAGGGATGCAAAGGTGGCATCTTGGAGGGTGGTGATGTTCGAGGGGAGAGAGGGAGCCATGCTGATGGTCATCTTTTGTTTGGATAGACAGGCTCAAGGAATGGAAGATACGGTTGATATTTGAACAAAGCGAAGCGCCATACTCGTATCTGTATGCTTATCGGAGGGTCGATGTTGATACTATCCAGAGATCTACGTAGATAAGGCTATCTCCAGCCATCAGGCTTATCTGATAACCTAGAAGGCCATCGTCAACATGCGTCAACATGCAGTGGAATCTATCTTTTAGACAAACAGAGAACTATGCTTGAGATATGTCACCGTGCATGATTGATTCTGTTAGTTAATGGATACAACTCTGCTGGTGCTGACCTAATGACCTGCAGAGCAACAACCCCGCATCCAAGAGTCCTCGCTCTCTTGCTCATCTTGACTCATTCCTGATCTAATTCGGACAGTACAGCAGAATCAAGAGTATTCTATACAATAGCAGTCAAGATGGATCCAGAAATACAGTACGTCCTCGGTTTGAAAGCTGTCCGTGAACGAGCCCATCGAGTCCTGCAACTCGCGGAGGAGAATCGCCTGAACCACTTTGAGTACCATCCCAATCGCCTCCAGGATGCAGTACAATACGTGATAAATATCATCAAGGTTAGTTTGTTGAAAAGGTGGTAGGAAAATACTGACAGACTGCAGCGCGACTTTGGACCAGACAAGTACCAGCTCATCCCGCCCCATGGCCGCTGGCAGCATTTTGAGGTCGGCGGTGTCAATCGCCCTGAGAATCTGCTGCAGCAGTGGAAGGGTAAAGGGGCGGACGCACTCGAGCAGACGCGTAGCTTAGTGGACTTATTCTTCGTCTCGGTGCTGCTTGATGCGGGAGCAGGTGACAAATGGCGGTTCACCGAGCCAGGGACGAATATCGTCGTTGGTCGTAGCGAGGGAACCGCGGTAGCCTCGTACAATATGTTTATGAATGGGGACTTTGCCACTTCCGATAGTGAGAGAAAGGATATCGTTCTGGGTTGGTCCATGTCCATCACCCCTTCTAGTGAGTACAGGCTGAACATCAACAGGGCAAGCCCTCAAGGACTTTGACGCTGCAACACTGCAGCGCGGATTCCAGATAGACGAGAAGACGAATCCCCTCGTGGGAGCATCTTCTCGCGTTGAACTCTTACGGGCGCTGGGCCGGTCCCTCCTCAACCTCCCAGAGATATTCGGGCCCGCCGGACGACCAGGAAATCTAGTCGGTGCGCACTCCCGTCCTTATTCCCAGACACAGTCTAAATGTTGCAGACTATCTCCTTTCCCAATCCCCAACGCCAACGGAAATCAATTACGAATCCCTCTGGACTACACTACAAACCGTCCTCCTACCCGTCTGGCCCTCGACCCGCACCCACATCGACGGCCACCCCCTCGGCGACGCATGGCCCCTCCAAGCCCTCGCAGACGACGCCGAGAGAACCGACCAGAGATCCAAATGCGCTCACATCCAACCCTTCCACAAACTCACGCAGTGGCTCGCGTACTCCCTAACCGTCCCCTTCGAGCGACTGCTCGCCGTGAAATGGGCAAACATGGGTCTCGGCACCGGGCTCCCCGAGTACCGCAACGGGGGCCTTTTTGTTGACCTCGGTGTTCTAACCCTCAAGCCTGACGCGGAAGAACACGGACTGCAGGGTTCCGGGGCGAGGCTTCCGGCGTTTGAGGCGACCTCGGATGTGATTGTGGAGTGGCGGGCGATGACGGTTGCGCTCTTGGATAAGCTGCATGCGCGGATTGTGGACAGCGAGGAGTTCGCCGGGGTCAGGTTGAGTCTTGCGCAGGTTCTGGAGGCTGGGAGCTGGAAGGCTGGACGGGAATTGGCGGCGGAGAAGAGGCCGGAGACTAGATCGAGCCCGATCTTGATACTGGGTGATGGAACGCTGTTTTAGTGATTATTACATTGAGTTCTATGATGAGACAATCCGTATTCCTTGAGATGTCTTCATCGTATCTTGCAATATTTGGTGATCCATAGGGTAAATAGCGATTTTGGGTATGCAATGCTGAACAATGGCACGATTACTCCGAGAAGGGATAATGATATTCGATACACAAGGTCACAAAATATAGAGCACAACATTCTGATGCAGAAATCTCATGATAGCAGCTTGATATCAATAACGAATGTGAGCGATAAGACCCAGTCGTTGCTTGTCGCTTATCTCCGGGCCCTTGATAGACCTATCTCACCAGACCCTCAAGACTCAAGATAGACGTCCTTGTCTTATCTTTAGACTGTTGTACAGCAGGAGCAGCAGCAATCAATGTAGGCATAGCATTTGTATCTGAGACTTTCTGAGTCAGTTCTCAGTGATTCCCCTGCTCATAAATCTGCCATTTCCGACCAGCTCAGAAATGATCTATCCCTTCCGCATATTGTATTGACGCGGTTTCCTCTACCGACTCTACAATACATCCCAGACCACAGCAGAATGACCACAACAACAGAACAAAACGGCTTGTCAGCAAACAAGAAACCCTGGACTAGTCCCGTCAGCACCAGATATGCCGACCGCATCATTGTGAGTGCATCCTTCGAGCCAGATCAACCACACATACTAACGGATAAGCTCACCACATACCCCGGGCAAAGTGTCGTCGACCCCATCCCTCTGAAATGGGGCGCCTCGACCCCCGAAGAACGCGGGCCAGTCTTGGTCTCCCGCAACAAAAACACCATCAGCAAGCGGAACGCCATCGGCGCCCACGGAGGCAGCTATGCCATCTACAACGCCCTTGCTATAGCGGCCGGAGACCTTCCAGCCGACTTTCGGCCGGACTTCCTAAATACCCAGCCGACGTTTGACTTTCCCATACAGTCTGCCTGGCATGATCCCATGAGGATTGTCTCGATGGATCCGTTCGGCCATGATATTGTCAAGTACTATGGTAAGTACCTCGAGCAGGGGATCGATGTCCGTCCCACGATAGCGGTCACCAGGGCCTCAATGCGCGTCTCTGAGATTAGCGAGGCGGTCCGCGAGGGCCGGCTACTGGTTGACGGGGCGATCGTGCACTCGGACCAAGGCGATGTGCGCGTGACAAAGGTGGCGGTTGAACCGGTCTGGTACCTGCCCGGTGTTGCGGCGCGCTTTGGTGTCGATGAGGCCTTGCTGCGCCGGGCGCTGTTCGAGCATACCGGAGGCAGCTATCCGGAGCTTGTCACCCGGACCGATCTGAATGTGTTTTTGCCGCCGATTGGCGGGTTGACGGTGTACATCTTCGGTCCGCCTGAGCGGGTATCCGATGAGAACGTGCGGCTGGCGCTGCGTATCCACGACGAGTGCAATGGGTCGGATGTCTTCCAGTCGGATATCTGCACGTGTCGGCCGTACCTGGCGTTTGGGATCGAGGAGGCGATCAAAGAGGCACAGCAGGGTGGCTCGGGGGTGGTCATCTACTTCCGCAAGGAAGGGCGGGCGCTGGGTGAGGTGGTCAAGTATCTTGTCTACAACTCGCGCAAACGGGGCGGCGACACGGCGGATAAGTATTTCCAGCGGACGGAGAATATTGCTGGTGTCAAGGATGTGCGTCGTATGAGTCGCGGACAAGTGCAGGAGCTGACACTGTGCAGATGCGGTTCCAAGCTCTCATGCCGGATATCCTGCATTGGCTGGGTATCAAGAAGATCGACCGCATGCTCTCGATGTCCAATATGAAGCACGATGCGATCGTCGAGCAGGGAATCCCTATTCATGAGAGAGTGCCTATCCCAGACCGTGAGTCCTGCCAGGTAGCTGACTGAAAAGCTTGCTGATCGTTTCAGACATGATCCCGACCGATTCGCGGGTAGAGATTGACGCCAAAATTCACGCGGGGTATTTCACCACCGGCCAGACATTCACCGAGGAGGACCTCAAGAACGTCAAAGGGCGTGGCTGGGAGTGTTGGGAAGATGTCACAGTAAGACCCTTTCCTTCGGTTGCTAATACACGCTGACAGGAGCGTAGCATTAATGTCTGTTATGTGCGTTCTGTCGAGCAGATTGAGATAGATCACCTATCCCAGCGAAAGGAAACCGTTTTTGTCCGGGTGAAAAAAGGCCAATATGTCCTGCCGGGAAAGTTCATGTCTGGGAACATTAGTAGGATTCATGTCGTTAGCGGTAGTGCTGACCTCCAAGAAAAGAGTCCTTGTTACTGGTTCGAACCGCCATTCCGTAGGGGGCTATCACAGTCAGTGTTGAGTCTCATCATATTGAATTCATTCGATACCCACCCAGCAGAGGAACATTGACCCCGACCTGTCCCACATTGACAGCTCGCTGGAAGATTCCTGCTTTCTGTGCACTGGACGTAAAGATCGAACAGCCGTTTCCGACTAAAGATATTAGCATGTCCCCGTCTTTCTCCTGTTCGACTTACATCTACTCTGGTTGATCAACTCGATTGCCTCCTCAAGAGTGTCGACTTCCATGCAGATCAGCACTGGCCCGAAAATCTCGCTCTGATAGCACTCCATGTACGTCTTGACATCCGCCAAGATCGTCGGCCCTACAAAATTGCCCTCCGGATACTCGGCCACGGACACCTCCCTCCCGTCCAACAACAGCGACGCCCTCTCCTCTATCGCTCGCTGAATCATCCCGCAGACCTTCGCCTTGGCCGCGCCGCTGATCAACGGACCGACCTTGACGTCCTCGTCGCTCCCACAGCCCACGACCATTGACTGCGCTAACTCGACTAATTTCGGGATCCACTCGCTGGTCGAGCCGACAAAGACCGCCACGCTCATCGCCATGCATCTCTGTCCGGCGGCGCCGAACGCGCTCCCGGCGATAGCGTACAGGGTCCCCATCATATCCGCGTCCTCCAGCACCACTCCGTGATTCTTTCCACCGCATTCTGCCTGGATGCGCTTGCGCGTCGCGCGAGCGTGATCGTAGATCCGCTCCGCAGCTGCTTCGGACCCGACGAAACTCACTGCCTGGATGCATGGTTGGGACAACAATTTGTCGACGGCGGAGGGGCCCCCATGGACGATGTTAAATACGCCGGGTGGAAACCCTGCACGTAGAAATGCAGTTGCGAGGAGGGTCGACGCGGTAGGTGTTTTCTCTGAGGGCTTGAGAATAAACGTATTCCCTGTCACCAAGGCGAATGGGATCGACCAGAGGGGTATCATGAAGGGAAAACTAAAGGGTGTTGCTGCCATGCATACGCCCTGGACGTCGGCCTTAGCACTCTTGCCTGATATAACTGAGAGACACCCACCAGTGGTTCATGGAATGTAGTCAACTGCGTCGGATCGGCGCCGAGATATATCCCCGCCATTTCGGGGCCAACTGAACATGCTGCTTGCACTGAGTCCAGGCCTCGGTATACCTCCGCGTCAGCATCGGCCAATGTCTTGCCCACTTCTCTAGACAGACACGCGACGATCTCGGGGGTCATGTCACGGATAGCCTCGACTAGCCTCAGGAGGTACTCGCGGCGTCTGGAGAAGGATAAGGCAGCCCAGGCGGGCTGTGCGGATCTGGCAGCCTCAACAGCGGTCTGGATCTCGTCGAGCGTGCAATCGGGAACACGAGAGAGGAGGCTTTGAGTGCACTGGGACTGTCAGTTTCAATTTCTCAGGCAACGAAGAAGATCGTAGTTACAGGATTTAGAACACTCGTCCACGTCTTCGAACTAGATAAGACGAATTCGTTGTTGATAAAAGCGTGTATGACCGTGGGTCGGGGTGCTTCCGCCTGGTTGTCGGGTTCTTGGTGGTCGGACAGGTCCTCAGCTTCACCATCGGTACGGGCTCGTTTCGCAGAGTCAGTTGTTTCATCCTGGGTCCATATATTAGATTGAGGCTTTTTTTGAATGATGGACCACCTACGACCGTTCGACTCCTCTTGTGGCCGACACCTGTTGGCAGTGTAGCTCGGTCCAGCATTTTCGGAGCAGAAACAGTCGATCCGTTTGTTCGAGATCGCAGAGTTCGGGTCATGTTGATGACTACGGGGAAATGGCAAAAGAATGCAAATGAGGGTTTGAAAGTATTCTTCGAAGACGACTGAAGATGACAGGGAGGAAATATCGAGAGCAATGCTGATAAGAGAGTGCGGGGATGTTATCAGTGTTAGTCATACTGGGTTGATAAGGATATAGTGCTTGATCAGTCATTATTTCATTCATTAATTTCTTGTGCATCTTGAGAGAAATGTGATATTCTCAAATATAGACTACTGCACACTGGATTCATAAAAGTAATGGTCTGCAAAAGGCAATTCTGTATAGTGATAACCATCAAGTGCGGGGTGTAAACAAGGCAACTCCAAAGACCAGACGCAGCATCAACTCGAGCAGAGCAGCTGGACTAATGCGCTGAACCAACTGGCCTAGAGCAGATCTCACTGCTGTCGTGTATGGCATTTTCAAGGCCAATCTTCCGAGTAATCTGGGATTCTTTCCTGTCAATTAAGCGATTTCCTGGCCCTTTGCTGGTAAAGTCACAAATATCCGGGGGTTTCCAAGATAGGTGAATCACACGCGACAGTACTGGAGACTGCCCCTGTCCTCGGCCTCGAACAAAGGAGATTCAAGGGAGACAGGTACAATAAGGCCCCTTCCTGTCTCCTTTGCAGTCTCTCTTTTCTGTTGTCTGTTTGACTGATTGCCGAGCTTCCCATTCTTCGTGATTAGTAGCAAAACCTGAGTAAGTACCGAGTGCTAAGATTGCAAAGCTGTTATTCCTACGATCGCGCGCTCCTTGCCTAGTACTAGACTGGAGAAGGAACAAATACATTGGTCATTGACTCCTTGGAAGAACGGTTTTCAAAACTCTCTTTAAGACAGAAGCAACACTACCTATGTAACATACGCCGCGATGAGTCAGGGACTTGTAGGAAATCCTAAAGTTGATCCCACTGACGTGCTTACTCGTTTTCCCTAACATCAATAACGGTCGTCTTGAACTTCCTCGCAGGAACCTTGCGATTGAACAAGATGTCGCTTTCACGGTAAGAGCGGTGCTTGAGCTCAGGGAGAAAGAAGAAGGCCATCACCCAGCAGACGCAGGCCGTGCCGGCCCAGACATAACCGCACTTGCCTGCGAGGTTCCATCCCGTCGGGTTGAGCATCTTCGAGGCGAGATAGATCATGGGAATCTCCGCGACATAGTAGGCGGCGCGACCGACACCGGTGCTTAAAGCGCGGAGACGGACCGAGGACGTCTCGGAAATGATGGTGTATGAGATCGGACCGAGGGTACCGGCAAAAACGAAGGAGATGAGGATACCTAGACAAGCCTGGGCGTAGTTGGTCGAGTTGTTCTGTGGGACAGAAGCGCAGATGCCGAGGATGATGAGCAGGGTGATGTTGGTGGCTGTGCCCCAGAGATAGATGGTTCGACGACCGAACCAGGCGGAAAGAGGCCAGGAGCACGCGTTGGCCACGAATTGAAGACACGAGTTGATCAGATTGAGCTGGAACGAACGGTCGGGTGAGATCCCGGCTTCTAAGTGGGGAGTCAGTCATCTAGGCTTGAAAGTTGTCCGAGGGAAGCCACTCACGCTCGAAGAAGAAGGTTGCCTGGTTGGCAATCAGGTTGCCAGCGAAATTCTGTGACGCGTACATCAAGCAGGTGATGATTGTTCGCCTCAGATCGGTACCCTTGAAGAGGTCGAGGAGGGTCGGGGCACCACCCATCTGTTCTTCGATCTTAACGGTTCGCTCGATCATGGCAAGTGCCTTTTGAGCATGCTCTGTGGATTCACTACCGAGGCGCTCGATGGAGCGAAGGGCCTCCTCTTTGCGTCCGCGACGAATAAGCCACCAAGGCGATTCGGGGGCGAGGAAGATGAGGATCAAGAGGGGAGTCTGGACGAGTCAGCTCTGGTAGGTACGAGATCTGAAAAGAGCGACTCACGGGGAAGATCCACTGCAAGGCAAGAGGCACTCGCCAAGCCCACTGATCCTCTCGCTTATTGTAGCCATAGGTGGCGGCGGCGACAATGATTGAACCGATAGACCAGCTCATTTGCAGAGTAGCCGTGCAGGCACCTCGAAGGGCCAGAGGAACAATCTCGCTGGCGTAGGCGGGGGAGTTTGCAATGAAGAATCCCCAGGGGACACCTTCCAACGCTTGTCCGACCACCAGGAGGGTGAGCGAGTCGGCCTAGGTGGGTTGGATTGGTCAGGCGATAAGCTCGACAACGGGGCTGGGCTACTCACAAAGAAGGAAATGAAAATTGTGGCGTTCATAAGAATCAGGGCCAAGATGGTAGTCCAGCGGTAGCCAAGACGGTTGGTGACGGGTCCGGCCAAAAAGACACCCACAAAAGCACCACATTGACCGGCTTGGAAGAGGGCACTCTGCCATCGGGTTGGGATGGTATAACCAGATCCCTCAACATAAACACCGTACCTCTTTTGGAAAGCGGAAAGCGCGACAAAGTTTCCGTTCAGAAACATGTCGAACGACTCCATGACCTGATAGGCATCAGCGGTTGTCCTGTCCGAGAACTGGGGATAGACTCACAATGGTGAAGCACATGATGAACGCCCATAAACAAGCCCAGGGGTGGCTCTTGACCGCGGTCCACACGCCCATCTCATGCTCGCGGTTCTCGCCATCGAAGGCATCGTTCATGAGATCCGGGTCGGCCAAGATCTCGGCATGATGAACGTCCACCTGATCCCCCTGGTGCAACCCCTCCTTTGACTCGACGATATCTGACGACATTGATGGGATTGCTCGCTATGTCAGCGTGCTAATGCAAAGAGAATAGAAAACAAAGCCAGGGAAAAGAAAAAAATAAAAAGGCGAGTCAGGGGAGTCAGGGTGGTCTTATATCAATTAATACATTTGCGCATTTAAATGGTGTGCGTGTGTGATACGTGGATTAATTTGTACGCAATCAGAGTCCATGATGAGTATTTAACAGAACAGTTAGTAGCCAGCGGTCTGATGGGCAAGCAGGGATGTGACATTGTGCCACCGGGCTTTTTCCCATTTCCCCAACACTGTCAGCAAGCAATGCGGTTACAACGGGAGACAATTACCCAAAGCAGGCCAGGCGCCGAACCAATGTAGTTAAACATGGGCTTGCGCACAAGCTACTACTTTATCATTGGACTAGAAGCTTAGCTGTGACCAGAAAAAGCTAGCCACCGGCGCTGAGGGCGCTGGGAATCTGCCGACAAGAGGATTGTGGCGTTCGACCAGCCCTGCTTATGAAAGGGCCGAGACATTTGAATTGCAGGGGGCCTGACGCCCTCCACTGGGCTTTCTCCATCTTTGAGGGTAAATCTTGCTTGGGGATGCGGGGCCCCCGGATAAGAGTTAGGGTTAGTGCTTGTTAGTGCTTATTTAGCTGCTGTGTCTCGTATTAGAGTTCCCTTATTGGCTCACCACTTTGCGCTGAGTGATGGGGAAAAAATTATGGCCTCTCAACTACATACTTCTCCCAAATCCCAAGTGCCTTAAAGCTGTCGGGAATCGATACAATATAAGTTCCAAGGTTAGGACCAAAAAAAAAAAAAAAGGTGGGAGGCTTAAGCTCAGTCTAATTATGCTTGCTGATCACCTGCTCACCTAGACATTCAGAATTGCCTAGTCCGGTTAAGATTATAGGAGGCTTGGCAGATGGCTACTTGTACGAAAGAGGATAGTCTACTTCTAATGAAATGTGACTGTGTGGCAGGTGTTTCAAGCTGGTTTTTTCCTCGTCGTCTTCTTGGCGATTGGTGGCATAGCCTTAAATAGAGTACAGAAATGCAGAGTAATCTGGAGACGCTGGTTTGGATTTCTAAGATACTGTTCACATCTTTAATCTTTCAAGAGGAAGATGATTCATTTCTAGTATTACTTTAAAGATAGGTTAAAACAAACAGGGCGCTCAATGAGTTTAACATCATCTTCCAGTAAGTGCAGAATAGTGGTGTGAATTATCGTGCTTTTTAACGTGGCGGGACTGGAAACTGGAAATACAGCCATTAATGGCCTTGCCACAAATAACAAATCAAACTACTTTTCTAAATCCATTTGAAATGCACCATAGTGGCGGGAGGCAAGAAAGAGTTGGCCCGTTCTCTTACACTGAGATTCTCGAAAACCACCAGGTACATTAGTAGTAATCCGAGGTTCAACTTGCTTTTAGCCAAGGAATGAACTCATGGAGTTTATTATATAATAATGAATGTACTGCGACTCTCTACGTAGTTGCTACTCACTGTGGATACTGATGGTATGATATCTTGGTACTAAGCCGAATGAATACTCTCCAACAACATCATTCATCAGAATTAACCCACCAAATCATGAGCCTCTCCGGACTACCAAACGAGATCATCCTGTTAATCGCAGGGCACTTGGATACCCAGCATGCAATCAATGCCCTTGCACAAACTAACCATCCAATCTACTCTCAGCTAAATCCCATTCTCTACCGCTACCACGCACAACATCATATCCCATCACCTGCTCTAGCGTGGGCTGCAGAAAATGGCCAACTGGGCACTTTGGTGAAGCTACTCCAGGCAGGTGCTGAGATACCCCCGGTTGTCAGACCTATCACCGATCATCCGATCGCCAAAGCAGCAACCAATGGACACGCCAAGATTGTCGAGATTTTATGACTGGCTGCAAGGGCTAGACTACAATATGATTCTCAGACATGCAGCAGTAGAGAACCGCACGGGGGTCGTGCTGTTACTCCTGAGCCGGGGCATGGACCCATGGGACATCACCGCAGGCCCCTCCACAATCTGCTGGGCTGTATACGCCGGACATGCGGAGCTGGTCCGATTATTATTGAAGGATGTCGAACAGCGCGCACTGTGGCCCGCCATCAAGTGCCACGCGATCGGAGAGGCACTATGTGCAGCTGTGAAACGAGCCAGTAACGAGGCTGTCATCCGCATGTTGCTCGACGCGGGTGCTGAGGTTGATTTCCGGAGGAACGATACCATCACCACTCCGTTGGCCATCGCGGCCAACTTCAAACAGGTGTCTGCGACAAAGCTTCTGCTGGAGGCTCGCGCGAACGCGAATATTACCAATAGCGACAGAGGGGGCCCGCTTGCTTGCGCTACCCTATGGGAGCCAATGCTCGGCTCGGCCTGGCTTTGGCCTCCGGAAAGAAGGAGGCTTCGTATAGGCCGTCGGGGGCGAAGAATTTGGGAGGAGCCCATTGTATTGGTCGATACCCTGGCTCGGGAATTGAATGAACAGCTCCGCTCGTCGCCTCTATATCATTCAACATGTCTATATAATTTACAAAACTTATGATGAGGACGACGTAACGAGGAAGAGGATACAGAGTCAGTGAAGGTTTCCTTATTAACGTACATTCCCACCCCATTCGCCACTCTAATATCTCCTGCTCTAAAATATCATATTATATGCTATGATATCTGATACTGCCTGATCTGCTAGCATACTAACACACCTGTGGCTTGTATACCTGCAACACATCATGTAGCTGTATGACAAAGGTTATCCAGATCAACGCACATCCAGCCGCATCTCCACCGACTGCATTCCACTTATAATTGTTGCACCACTGGCCCATCCGGTTGCGAAAGGCCACAGTGCGATCATACTGGGAGTGGCTTGCCGAATACTGGATCTCCTTCCACTCACTCCAGTGGCGCCCCTCATAATGATCCCCATTACCGTACACTAATCCGAACCCGTATTTCGAGTCCAGGTCTCGAATGATTCGTTGCCACTGCGTCCAGTCCACGTCTCCTGCCAACTCTCCCAGAACATCTCGGACCTGATGTTTCAACTGTCGCAGATCTGTGTCACTTAACCGGTTCAAAAAGTCCAAATGGACAAACCCCGCGTATCCAAAGACAGTCGGACACTGCTTGCTGGTTTCCTCCACATACTTCTGGTGTGATTCTTGCGACTCCTTGAGCTGGGCTTTCAAAGACTCGATGTATCCGGCGTGCTCCTGATTGATTTTTTCCAGGAATTTATTGGTCTCCTCCAACCGGGCGATCTTCGCGCGTAACTCTTTAGTCTGGTCTTCCTTCGGAGATTCGCCTTCTTTGTCTAAAGTGGCAGTTGAGAAATGCTCCCTCAAAGCCTTCATAGAAGGAGTAAAGAAGTATTCACCACCTTTCTGATCAACCCACGGACTAATACCAAGATTAAGCTTGACAGTCTTGTCCGGGTTGCTTCCATCGTACAGACTGATGTGACCCTCGGGATGATCGGAACGGAGTCTCTGGTTAACGAAGGGGTCCATACCAGGACCGTCGGGGAAAGTCTTCGTCTTGTACTCAGGAAAGGAGGAGTTACTCGCCCAGCCTATATTATTAGCATCATAGGCAGCATCCCAATGGTTGGATGTAAACTTACGTGTCATGAGGAAGTTGAACCCATCCCGGATAAGACTCTGGTAACACGTAAAGTAGATCCCACGTTGTTCAATTGTCCTCCTCTCCCTCTTTTCCTCCTCGGTGAGTTCAGGACCGAAGGTGATACCACGACGGAGGATGACACTAGCATCCTCCTCTTGTCCTTCGGCCTCGGACTCATCACTTTCTGGCTCCGGAAGCTCGGTGTTATCGCCATCCTCTTCTGTCCCCACATCGCGCTTCTTATCGGCTCTGGGACGCATCTTGCGGATGTGAGCCGCGAACGGACAACCCTTTATGCTCTTCTTGGGTCTGAAGTCGAATTTGTTGTCGAATGCCAAGTCCGCATTGTCCTCGTCGGTGGCCTTGGCGACGGGAGCTCCTGTGCTGTTGATTAGTTCTTGTCTAGCGAGTGGATAATACTGTAGTATAGAGATCATAGGCGTACCGCTCTTCCATCGTCCCATCATATGAGCACCCAGCTTCGCGGGACCATTGGGTCCCTGATAGTTGGTCCCTGGGACTTTCGGTGCCGCCTCCTCGAGGAACTTTTCGAATTCGGGAACCTTCTGGTCGAGCTGACGGAAGACAAGGAAACTGCCCTCCTTGGCCCATTCGGGGCCTCTTTTCATATTGGGGTCACCTTTGTGCCCGAGAAAGATGTATCTAAGTCCTGTTAACAGGCATTGTACCTTCGACCTATTGAAAGGTGTGACGTACCCGGGAAGACAGGCATGAGGTTCACCCTTGGCCGGGGGGTCATCCAGGCCTTTGATCTTTGGCTGAGAGATGTGATCCTCGTAACCGAAGCTACAGAATTAGTATCGCTCATAGTCGATGAAACGGAAGTCGGAGGGAATCATACTGCTCTTTGCCACGGTTCGCACCAGGACGATGTTGGCCATCTCTTCTGAAGGCGATCTTCATACTGGCCTCATTCGCATCCCCCACATTGAAGGCATCCTCCAGATCTCTGACCTTCTTACGCACCGCTTTCGCCGTGTGGGCAGCGACGATGAAAACTCCGTCCACTCTCCACTCCCAACGTTCTAGTCCGGTCTTTGTCTCATTCCCGGGGGGAGCCCTGAAATCCGGATGCAAGGCAGGGGGGCTATCGGCACCTTCGTAGACGAGGTCATCGAACATGCCCTTCTCGAAAAGACCCTCGTTGATTCTATCCGTGCAATAAGCATCCGGATCCTTTTGCAGAGTCGCAGCAAATTTCACTTCGACCTTGGGATTTTCCACCTATGAGAATATCCAAAATATTAGAATAGACGGCAATCAGATACATATGTAGAAGAGGGGAGAGAGAAGACGAACCTTGAGTAAGCCCATATGGGTGAAGGCGATGTTCACTGCCGTAAAGGGCTTTCGGTCCGCTTCGGGAATATCACGTCGAGATCTTGCACAGGCTTCTTCAAACTCCCCAATTGAGTTCAGGTGGTTCTCGCATTGAGTGCCGGTGGTAATTTCCCCGTTGTCGAGGATATCTCTAAGGTGCTTTCTGAACCTCTCTTTCTTTGTGATCTTGAAGAAGAGGTAGGATTCGTAGTACTTGGGGAGACGGGGCCAGATGCTGCCCTGGATGTTGTCGGTGTCGACCACTCGCTCTTGCTTGTCGACAGGCATTTTGCGTTGTGCTTACTTTGGAGACTCTGAAGGGAACAAGTTTTGCTACACCTTCCGAGTGCTGGGGCGGCCCCTTCTTATGTCTGCTTTGACAGAAAGAAGACTACACCACAGATATTAGTATTCAGGCTGAGGGTTAGTATCCAGAATGTATCGCCAGTTTCAGCTCCCCTCTTCCTCCTTAGCTTCCCATACCCCTCCATTTCAATTGAAAACATCATCGTGCAGCTCAGCCCAAGAGCAATCGATAATGAATGGACCGCGATTTGTGGATCCTCGATCCGGAGGGTGATAATCTTGCAGATTCGACGCCTTCCTCCACCCACTGGAACTGATCTATCGTATGTGCGCCATGCTGATCCACTACTTCTGCTGTGACGACGATATCCAATTGATCACCTCGTCATTACTAGCTGGTGACAGTGAAGAGACTGGATGATTCTTACGCTGATCTAGCGGGTCCTGGCGTCTGAGAGCACACTAATCACATCCCATAGATTAGTATTCCGATTTATGCTAGTTTGGATCTTCATCAGCACAGACTGCGGCATTTCTTCAGCTGAACAGTGGGGATAGTGGAGTCCAGGACGAGTCAATACTATATCAATGTCCTCCATGGTTCAACGAGTACGGGATATTCGCATCCACCGGAATGGCTTTCAACCATATCCGATCAGATACATTGATATCTAATACACCTTCTGAAGTAAACTCTCGCTCAATATGATAGATACATGACAGGCAAGGATGGCATCATGGCAGGGACCGAGCCGTCCGCAAGGTGGAACTGACAAGATCCACCCGAGGAGTTCGTGGCGTATGTATGATAGCTGCATCTCCACTCCCCAATATCAAATAGAACCATGATCAGCGATGATTATCAGCCACTTAGAAAGGGCGATCTCGGTCATAATGCTAGATTAATAACCGAGGAAGCAGGTTTGCCGAGTTCCCAGGGAGCGGGACATCGACATTAGGGTTTCTGCAGTTCTTACCGGATTGCTGGTACATACTTTCGACCTAAGATCTATTCAGTACTGCACTGCACACTCTACGATCTGACGATGATTGATCTGACCTGAGACAACATCTATACACCTAGATGATCGATTCTGCATTCGTATAAGATATACCGTCTACGAGAGATCATTGATACGCCGTCAGGATATCAGTCCCATGTATGATGATGATGCAGCTATGATCACCACAGAAGTGGTCAAGTGGAGATGCTGGGGACTAAAGATGCATCACAATCCCAACAAGGAAGGATCCTCAGCCCTAAAAATCCTACTGGGAGAGGAACCTGGAAGAAGCACCCGCAAGTGATGAAAGCTGAAAAGCTGCTCATATTGCATCTCAGCCTGTATCCACAGGCGATCCCTCAAGGAACTGGTGTTGGTGGCTAGCTGTGTCTCCACTGCCTGGGCAGCCACGGACTTTACGTATCGCGGTCGCTGACGCTTTCAATCTGGGTGTTATTTATAAGTGATTTCTTTGCACTCCTTTGATTCACAACGACTCTCACAGGACTTTCATCACAATGAAGTTCCAGTGGACATCTGGTCTCGTCCTCGGGGCGGTGGCCGTCGACGCCTTCAAGCCCGCTGAATTTTCCTACGAATCCTCCGAAGCAGAGCGCGTTGATATTGCCAAATCTGTGTCTGGCAGGATCAAATACCAATCTCCTCCTCCCGATTCTGACCTGATTCCCAAAATCAATGCCAAGGATCCGAGCGAGAATTGGAAGGTCCAGTGCTCCAGCCAGTATGAAGGCAACGAGTGCGAATATGCCATTGACGACCGGAGCGAAAGATACTGGCACAGCGACCCTACGAAACAAGGGGAGGCTTCCTGGATCGTCGTCGATCTCCGCAAAGAGTACTACGTTTCCGGTCTGACCATGCTGCCTCGGCTGGACAAAAGTGTCGACCATGGCCAGATTGGTGAACACCGCATCTCTCTCTCTCGGGACGGCGGGAACTGGACAGACGTTGCATATGGGACCTGGGGATCAAACAAGAGTCCCAAGATGTCGGCCTTTATCCCCAAGCCTGCTCGTTTCGTCAAGCTCGTCGCCGAAACCGAATCCCGTTCGGATCGGTCGCAGGTCAAGAACGGGCAGATCTCTATCGTCAACCTTGCCGTTTACTCCTACAACGAAGGCACTTTCCCCGAAGAGGAGCCCAGCAGGGGTGTTTGGGGGCCCACAATTGATCTACCCATCGTCCCGGTGTCCTCTGCTGTTGAACAACATGGTGACATTATCATGTGGTCTGCCTGGGCTGACGACCAGTTCTTCGCCTCCCCCGGTGGGAAGACCCTGACCACCACCATGAACCGCGAGGGCATCATCACCCAGAGCGAGGTCTTCGAAACCAAGCACGACATGTTCTGCCCGGGTACCTCCATGGACATTGATGGTAATATCATCGTCAGTGGTGGTGCTGACTCCGGTCGCACAAGTGTGTACAATGGCACGGCCTGGGTGAAAGGTCCCAGCATGGCGATTCCTCGTGGCTATCACGCTTCGACCACCCTCTCCGACGGTCGGATTTTCACAATCGGGGGGTCCTGGAGCGGTGGAGACAAGGTACAAAAGAACGGCGAGGTCTACGTTCCCGGTGAGAATGCAAAGTGGGAAAGACGCCCGGGCGCCAAGGTCGAACCGATGATGACCGACGACCGTCTGGGCGCATGGCGGGCCGATAACCACGGCTGGCTCTTTGGCTGGAAGGATGCGAGTGTCTTCCAAGCTGGTCCCAGTAAGATGATGCATTGGTACAATGTCGATGCCAAAGACCACAAGGGTAGAGTCAAGGGTTCCGTGAAAGAGGCCGGCACGCGTAAAGAGGACCACGACTCCATGTCCGGTAGCGCCGTCATGTACGATGCCACCAAGGGTAAGATCCTCACCTTCGGTGGCCAGCGTCACTACGACGGCTCCTATGGTTCCAAAAACGCACATATCATCACTTTGGGAGATCCCTATCAAGAGCCTCAGGTGGAGGTGGCCGGCAAAGGCCCCGACGGTACCGGTGAAGGCGGCATGAACTACAAACGTGTTTTCCACACCTCTGTCGTCCTTCCTAATGGCAAGGTCTTCATTGCTGGTGGACAGAGCTGGGGCAAGCCCTTCCACGAAGGGAACATCAGTTTCACGCCCGAAATCTACGATCCCGAGACCGACACTTTCGTGAAGCAGAGCCGCAACAACATCAAGCGTGTCTACCACAGTATCTCCATGTTGCTGCCCGACGCTACCGTTCTCAATGGTGGCGGTGGTCTCTGCGGGAACTGCTCTGCCAACCACTACGATGCTGAGATCTTTACTCCTCCATACCTCTTCACTGCCGACGGCAAGAAAGCCACCCGTCCACAGATCATCCAGGTCGTCAACGGAGGTGCGCGAGCCACCGTTGGCAAGGTGCTAAGATTCCAGACAGACTCTGAAATCAAGTCTGCCGCCTTGGTCCGTCTCGGAACTACCACCCACACTGTTAACACCGACCAGCGTCGTGTTCCCCTCGACCTCAAGCCACTGTCTCAAAACAGATACGCCGCCCGGCTCCCTGACGATGCGGGCATTATTCTCCCTGGGTGGTATATGTTGTTCGTTATGAATGGCGAGGGTACCCCCAGTGAGGCTACGATGGTCAAGGTTGAACTCCCCCCTCGTGCTAGACATGAGTCCAGCAAATACGAGGAAGAAGAGGAGGAGGAGGAGGAGGAGGAGGATCTTGAATTTTTGTATCCCGGAGAGGCTCATGACTGCGACCACGATGATGAAGAGGGCAAGGGAATAATATCCCTTATCTTTACTTCGTCCAGCAACTTCTGGAAGACCTGGAGGTCTCCCCTAGTCACCCAGGCTTGAGTGTCTATATCGTGGTTTAGAGTTAGCTGGTCTTTCTTCTATACAATCTGTAGTATATCAACAAATGGAGCATGGTTTTATCACCTGAGTATATTGTATTGTCCTAAATTATACATCCTGTCATATGGATAACGATGTTATCTAGGATGGCTCACACGCTACCCTCGAGAAGCAGCAGCACCTATATAGGAATATAAAAGAACTTCCGGGAAAATAATTTAGTTGTACACCACAAAGCCCTACAAATTGTACCGGTTCTTCAGATGGCGCCACCAGTCACGGACCATCCAGACATCAAACTCGGTGATTTCAGTCGCACTCCCTGCCAGCATGATAAAGTTCGTTTGGCCAGTGGGGGTCCAGTCGTAGAAATCTTATACGCAGTGTCAGCCTATGCTTTTTCAAAGGAAACAAGAAACAACCGACCATCCAAGGCAAACGTATGTCCTATCTCATGCAGGTAAATGTGGATATTCTCCGAGTCGACATTCTCGACGAAATACTCCTGGCCCACGCGCTGGCCCCAGTCGCCGCCCGCGCCGCCCTGGAAACCCTCCGTGAGCCACAAGCTCTCGTCTGCGATGGTCAGCCACGGTAGTCTCGCGGCAGGGGAGGGACGCATACCGTAGTGACGATCCGCACCCGCCGCACAGCCACTATAATCACCATCCTGGTGGAAGAACCGTCCACAGGACGGATCGCATTCGGGAACCCCGTCTGCATCCGCGGTGGTGTAGATGTCGAGTCCCGATGTGTCCCCTTCGAGGAGGGAAACATCGCGCACGGCGTATCCGACGACGTTCACCTCGACGGTGTCGTACGGCCAGCCGTCGAAACCTGCGAGCGCGGAGATCCATTTATTGTAGGAGCGGCTCGCCGCCGCGGCGATCTGCTCGCGCTGTGCTGCGGTCACGGTCTGGCTTGAGTCCCAGCGCACGCAGTAGTTGATTTTCCCGCCGGTTGCTATCACCTGGTCGAAACCGTAGTTCTTGAAGCCGAGAGGGTCGCTGTATGTGGACATTTCGTGCTCCCAGACCTGGATGTGTGAGAGGGTTAGAGGTGTGGGCATTGAAGGCTAGAGGACGGGGTGGGATGTGTACCTCGGTGAGAGGGGTGACGAGATCAGCTGGGGGGTTCCAGGTCGAAGTGCTGTTCTGGCGCTTTTCGGCCCATGCTCTGGCCGTGAGGGCGACGAGATGTCCTGGGATCTGGCTGTCCTGCAGCGGGAGAGCGCAAACGGAGCTGGCCAGCAGCTGGATTGTGGCGAGGGAGAGACTAGCCTTCATTATATACAAACACACGCAATATAGATAAAGAAAAGGTATATTAAAGAGAGAACTGGCTAGTCAATAGCTATGAGAGGGACAGTGAAGGGATGCCATATGGGTCCTGGGGATAACTATATACGCCCGCATAGTGCGGAAGTCAAAGGCCAATAATAAGGGGTTCATGCTTGTGGTCAGATAGTCAGACATTTCAACTGTATCTAACCCTTCAGGGTCATTCTCCACCAATGGTACTTTCTCTCTGAATGGAGCGCCAAGTGTTGGGTCCGGAGGACAGACTCTATGGAGCTCGACTGTTCTTCCTCGAAACAATGCCCAAACAGCGGAGCGGAGATGCCAAGCGCCTGCCAATCTATCAAAAACAGCCCCTGATTAACCGGCCCTAGACTCAGAGACATGAAATTTGTCATTAATGAGAAAGAAGGTCAAATGATTCTGCTAGTCTGCATGAGATCCTATGTCTTCAATCAGGCTGTCCGCTTCCTCAACCCACGCAACGGCCCTTGCATCATTGGCCTCATCTTGATAGATGGCTCGAATGCGGATCATGCCGCTTGTGTCATGCACTTCATCCCATTTGAGGGACTCATTCTTCGGTCCCAGTTCATCTCGGATACACCTCCGAGCTTCCTTGTTCGCTTGCTCAATTGTGGCCTTCGTTGCTACCTCAACTGGATAACAAGCCGCCATCATGGGACTGGTGGAAAAATTTTCGTAAATCTCCATCTTGACCTTGTACACCTTTTTGTACGAAGGAGTTTCCAGCTTTCCGTGAAGCAACCGGATCACAGTTGACATGGGCCCTGTAGTTTGGCCCGTCAACCATTCTGCAAAGATTGGTTGCATATATTCGGTATAGGTCCTCCATTAATGCGAGACTCTTTGGAGGAGGTTCTGGAGACTGTCGACTGGAGGGCGCTCGGCATCTTGATCAATCCAACTGATAGAGACCTGATTCAGGGAATCCTGTAGGTCTTCTTTCTCGGCTGGGCTCAGGTCGCCTCGATAGAAGGCGTCTTCCAAGACCAAAACTCGAGCATAATGATCAATGGCTTCCAGCTTCGGAGAGAATGACAGCGTGTCCTGTAAGCCTGCCAGCTTCCAGCGGGGTTGGTCACCCAGTACTTCAGTCTGGATCAAAACAGCCAGCCACCAGACCAACGGGTTGGTATGAGGAGTGGCCGTAGCATCCTTGATCATCTTCACAAAGAATATACTGGCCATCTGACCAAGAACTTTTAGTGACCGTCCTGACTTGGCGTAGTACCGAATGGTATCGATGTCGTCCTTGAGAGTCCAAGATAGGTTCAATCCCATAGACACCAGGGCACCGTCTGCACCATAGGACTTCCAATTGAAGATAAGAAACGCCAGCAATGATGTCCATACAGACAGGGCCTGCTTCCGCTTCTCCTGATCCCGCGGTCGTGCCCATGACTCGAACTCTTTGGCAGGCTGGGCAGCAGATCGAGAGAACTTGTTCATGAGGACTCGAATATGTGAGGGCCATCGTTCAACCATCACGTCGCTGTCAGTGAAAGTCTGTGTTATCGCGACCGCAATCCTCTCGATGATGCGTTGCGTGGTCGGGCCACCAGCAGTGTGGAAGCGCTGCCGGGCTTCGGCGATTGCTTGCTGCTGAGCATCTGTGAAACCAGCGGAGCGATGCCATTCTTCAAGGTTAGAATCCATTGAATTGTCCTATGGTGGTGCAAGAGATGTTTGGAAGTAGCCTGGAGATGTGGGCTGACGGTTGCAAAGATATAAGTTGGCCGTGAGGGGGAATTAGCCGAGATAATTACCCCTCCATCACGCAGATATCTCCAAGATTACTTCCATTAAAGATTCACCAGAAATGACAAGATCACCGTATGTTGTGGTTCTGCATGCTTTTATCACGTCAACTCTTTCCAAAGGCATGAGCATAGCATCTGATTTAAACCAAGGACATGAGGATGGACCTTGCCTTTGTTGACTAGAGATATTTGATGTCTTCCCGCTAGAGGGATATGTGACCAGTCTTACCACATTACAGTCTTTCCACCACACGAATGGCTGGCCTAAATAGCAAAAATACGATGCAGCCATTAAATCAACCATCTCAAATGCCCCGACGGTCTTCGAGCAAGATGAATAAGAAAGGTAGCAAGCTTGACACCCGCCCCTATAATCAACATGCGTCCGTCTTCTTCCGTCTGCCCCGCGAAATCCGCGACATCATCTATGGACAAATCCTCATCTTCCCCGTAACCGTCCACCTCGCCTACGTGGGAACCAAAACACGCAGATTCCGTAGCTTTCTCTGCCAGCTATCGGAAGATGAGCAGCCCGAGAAGCGCTTACACCCGCTCTGCCGACGATGTCGAGTCAACCATCACCGCTGTTCACCCCGGAACGCGCCAACTTCTTTCGATGTCACGGCTCGTTCTTCGTCCGAGGTTCGAAGCCAAGCCAGAGTTCTGGCATTACTGCGCAGCTGTAGAAGGGTGTACGTTATGATCTGTTGCAAGATGATCGTTGCTGAGAGGAGTAGATATGACGAGACGGTCGATATGCTCTACCGCGAAAACACATTCTACATAGAGAATCCGCGCACCCTGCTGGAACTTCCGTCCTCTCTATCCAGGGCGGGACTTAGCACGTTCCGGCATCTATATCTGGAATCTGCCCGGTATGGCGAGGATACCCCGTCTGACCGCTTGGCGAGATGGGCAGCGGTTGTTCGTGTCCTGGAACGGCTTGATGGACTCGAAACGCTAGTCGTTATTCTACGTCCGATGTTTGGATTGGATTGGGAGGTCGAGGCGCTGGAGAAGCCACTCGAGGCGGCCCGACTTCCGGTGTTGAGGGTGTTGAGGGATCCGGTGATAAGGATGGCTCCTGCTGGTTCGTCGTCTTGCTGTGATTTTCATGCTGAGCGATGAGGATATTTCACATGATCATGCCCGTGCAGTGGCACACGTAGAGTAAGGACAATAGATAGCTGTTTTCAAAGCATGCTTTCTAGCTCATCTGGACATCTCGGACATCTCTGTGAAACCGGTACGAAGACCAAAATAACTAGAAGCACCGCCATATACACGTCGCTGGCGATAAACTAGCGCAATTGGATGAGTCTAATGGGCTGTAGGGCCGTGCTTTGAGGAGACACTGGCGGTATTTCCCAGGCAGTGGTCTAGGCTCGTTGATCTTCCATGATATATCCAATGAGGATGGCGATTAAGTCAGTGAATGATAATCTGCAATCCAGGAGCTCTAACCCAAAGCCTAAGAGTATCCAGACCTAGTCCATCAAGAAATCAGATCGAGGCACACCGCCTCGTACTTTTACTGTGTAGGAGATACCTATCTATGATGCAAGCACATTTATGGAATATCAAGAATGCAACTATCGAACCTTGCCTGGAGATTTAATCGCATTCATTGGTGCATCGAGGACAACCGTTGGCTATGTTCCATTCCAGTCTCCACTGCGCTGGGCAACTGTGGACCGGATGCCCACGGAAGCACCGCCGAAGTATTGCACCACCGCCTGGTAATGGTCATGGACTCATGGTTTACATGGGGATTTCCAGGATCCATGATTCATGGATCCTGAGGGAGACATCTCACTGATGTTCGGAGTTTTGCCCAGATACCATGGTTGATGTCTCCCGCGAGTCAGTCTTACCAATAATCCCCTGCTTCCCCTTCACGATACCCTCATAAGACTAGTACTGCAGAGATTCAATTCGATCAAGCTGTTGCCTGATCTAAGAAGTGAGGAATTGACTTTTGCCGGAGCGTATCCTGTGCCCCTTCTGAACCTTCTACAGGCTACTTCGCTACCCACGCTCACATGTATAGTCCATGATTGAATGCAACCGAGGTGGAACCAGCCCAGTGCAAACGGTGATAGGCCATTGATGGTATTATCAGCTTGATTTCAGGGCTTGCGAGAGTGCAAGTGGGTATTGGACGTCATAACCCTCTAATCGTTCGATCTCTGCGTTGACAGCAAGATCGATGATTGAGAGTGAGGACCAGGGTAAATATAACGAGAGATAGAACTTGATTTTACCAAAGCAACTGTTGGGGAATCACTCACTATCGCTTTGATCGCTTAATTTTCAATTACTGCATCCTAGCTACCGCCATGAGGTCGGGAACCGCTCGAAAACGCCCCTCCGACGCCGACGATCACTGCCAAGCGACCCAGGCGGCCCGGAGACGGATCAGCAGGGCCTGCGACCGGTGCCGGGCGCAAAAGGCTAGAGTAAGTCATCTTCTCTTGGGGGTATGTGAAAAATGGCTAATTCTCCAGTGCGATGGAGGAAAACCGTGCCTTCGCTGCGGGGACCTCATCCCTTGCGTTTATCAGGACAAGAAGCCGCTGCGACGGAAGTACCCCGCTGGGTATGTCACCTGCATCATTGCTGGATGAGACTAACGACGATGAAGATATGTGGAAATGTTAGAGGAGCACCAGGCGTATTTGATCACCGGGCTGAGGAAATTATACGAACGCATTCAGCAGGATTCCAGACTCCCAGAGGTCGATCGCGATGGCAATAACCGACAGATTGTGCACGAGCTGCTCGATAAATTGGGCATCTTTGAGGAAACGATCAAGGAGCGTAGGTCCTCAATGACGGGAAGCGAAGCGGATGATGCACAACCGTCTCTAGGGCGTATTGATCAAAACGATACCGTGAGCGCAGCGACACCCAGGTTGCCAGAGTCATCTCGGGCCTGGTCGTCCACACAAGTTAAACCCTCACCTGCCCCAAATTCAAATGCCGGCTTGAATCTCCCTCGCGCGATGACCCTACCAACCCACGTTCCTCTTAATACTGGGATGGCACAACCGCAATGCTCACTACCGTACCACCATCAGGCTGATCTGGCGGGACTGAGTCGCCATCAACGACCGGTCGATCTCAGCAACGGATTCTGGAGGTGGTCGTTTGACTTTTCCGACTTTCTGGCAGTCTCGGGTCGGGAAGGATTGCGATGATGCCGCTGCTGAGGGGCGTGAGAATGCTGCGATCATAATGTGAGTCCTGGCGTCTTGAGCAGTAGCTTGATAGAAGTATCGCAAACGATCGCAGCAAAGACTACAAGATGATGCCTTGGACTCGAGAGGCATTGGATATTGAAGTCCGTCCAACTTCTACTGGTGAGTAAAAGGTGAAAATCAACCGACTATACATACTAATCCATATAAAGGGATCAAGCCAAACGAGCGGAGCCTCTAAAGAGGATTATTGACAGCACCAGAATGCAATATATATCCAATCATCCACAACTATTGCAACCCACAACCTTCATCGCTCCTCCCACACGGGTCTTGTGAAAGATGCTTACGACTCCATCAGGGCCCCAGCGCCCTCGTAAAACTTCGGCAGCGGCTCGAGCTTCTGCCGAAGAATCCAGACCCGGAAGTGCCAGATGGCGTTCCTAATCTGGTACGCAGCGTGCTTCCTCGTCGGAACAGAAAAGACCTGGTCCAGTTCCTCCAAAGTAAGAGCTGCAAACGTCAGTATCCGCATACGGATGACTTCGCTGCCGGAAAGACTCACCCTTGGTCTCGGGAACAAAGAGCAATATCAGCACCCATCCGATCAAACACCACGCCGCGTACCATCCAAACGCACCCTGCGGTTTGAACGCGTCCAGCAGCATCGGCCACGTGAACGAGAGGATGAAGTTGAAACACCACGTCGTCGCCGTCGCCCACGACATCCCGACCTCACGCACGTGCAGCGGGAATGCTTCCGCGGAGTACGTGAACGGCACTGGACCCTCGCCGGGCGAGTAGAATACCTCGAACAGATACATCCCCGTCGTGACCATCGCGACTCGCTTCTTGCTGTATGGATCGTCCGGTTCGATCCAGAAGGAGAAGCCGGACCAGAAGAGGCAGATGGCCAGGAAGGGGAAGGTGAACAGGAGGAGGTTGCGCCGGCCCCAGGTGTCGATGGTGAAGAAGGCGGGGAGAGCGAAGACCCAGTTGAGGATGCCGGTGCCCATGGACGCGAGGAGGGCCTCTTGGATGCTGTAGCCGGATTCCTGGAAGATGGTGGTTGAATAATAGGCGATCACGTTCACTCCGCAGAACTGTTGGAATTAGCCACTGACAAGGGGTAGAGCAGGGGTACCGGGTAGAGCGGATTGAAGATGTTTCAAAGGTGATACTACTACTTAGGTTTGACCCAACAGAATAGTCGAGGACAGTGACGGAGAACATGAATCGAAGTTTTGAAGGCCAGTAAGCTTACCTGCTGCATGAACATGACGATCCAAGTAGCCAGTGTCGCCCGACGATTGCGAGGAATGGTAAACAGTTCAATAAACATGGTGAAAAAGTTCTTTCCCTTGTTCACCTTCCTCTCCAGCTCCACTCCGACATATGCGTAATACAGATCCCGGGCGGCTTGCAGGTCGGTCGGCCGAAGGGTCCGGAACGCGGCAAACGCCTTGTCGATCTTGTTGTGCTCGATCAACCATCGAGGAGACTCGGGACAGAGATAGACTTGTGCACAGACAATCAGTGGGAGAACAACCGTGGATCCCAGCATGAGACGCCAGGAGAGGTTGTCGGACAACCCCATGAATGCGACGCCCATGATGTTTCCCAGCATGATACCGAATGCTGTCCACATCTGCCACATCATGACCAGAGCGCCTCGGATCGGGGCCGGTGAGCATTCCGCCGCGTAGACGGGGACGGTCGACGACTTGGAACCGATTCCGAGACCTAGGACGAAGCGAGCGATGAAGAGGTTGACCCAGGAGTTGGCGACTCCCTCCCAGATCGAGGCGACGGCGGCGATGAAGCAGGACAGGAAGATTGTACCTCGTCGCGCTAGATAGCGGTTCAGAGGCTCTGTGAGCCAGCATCCCAGAATGGCGCAGGCCAGGTACGGTGCGCCGACGATGAGGCCGGTCAGGTATCTCTGCATGGGTTCGGAGAATCTCGAGTTTTCAGGATGATCGGGGTCGGTGATGTTGAGCTGCTTCAGGTAGATGGCTTGAGCACCGTTGTTGACCGTTTCGTCCATGCCTTGGACTGCTGCTGCCAGCGAGCACATAGCTGAGGTACATCAACGATCTGCCCTCCGAGTACGCTGGTATTCATCTGATACTTACAAGCCATGAAGTAAAGCTGCCATGGCTGGGACCATTTGTGTGTCTGCTCCCGGCGAAGAATAGCCTTCTCATCCTCATTCAGCTCCGGCAAGTCCAGGGCACCGGCGGGATTCTGCGAGATGAGGGCCCCTTTGCGGAATGCGTCAATGTGGTCTGTCAAACCGTATTTGACACAAAAGTCTTCCACATTTTGCAGCAGTTTGTCCCGGGGGACATTAGCGAGGGGATTCTCAAATACCGCATTCAGCTTGTTGGGTGGTCGACCTTCGAGGTCGAAAATGTCCTTTCGCTGAGTGGTATCCTCGTCATGTTGGAAAGTCGAGGGCTTTTCTCCTTTAGGACCAACCAACTCCTCTGAGGGAGAGGAAGGCAAGTCACCGTCTTTCATCGTGTTGCTAGTAATCTTTCAAGAGGACAAAATAGTCGAGAGATAGAACAGAGTCAAGGCGTGTTTTCCCTCCCTGGCCTGTATGGGCAAGAGGACATGACCTGGGGTAATGCGGGTACGGAGTCTCCACTGGATTAGTGTGGGGTGTCGTTCCAGTCTTATATCGTCTGGGGAAGATTTCTTGGGATACCAGAGATGTCTCCATGCTCACTGGGCTTTACGCAAACGAGAAATGATTGACTCGTTGATGGAGACGCACGTCGGACGACCAGTCGACTGATGCGGCATATACCACCACATTACCAACACTGGAGGAGTCAATTGACAGCCCATTGGCACACCATCACTATGCAGTTGACGATCCCGGAAATGTATTCGAGGCTTTGTCTCTGACTGGGCCATCCCGGTCACAGAAACTCCGGGTATGCTGTCATAGTCCCAGGGATCCCTGTTCTCTTAGTCGGTTTGCTTTGAGTTCAGATAGTCCAAGGACAAAGGATGGCCCGAGTAGCCGAGCGCAAGCGAATCGGAGATGGCATCCAACTGAATCCGGATAGAACGACGAGGGGTGACATGAGATCAGTGGCTGGATGGATATTCGCTTGTCCATCACTTGACACTCATCTCTGCCAATCATCGGGGCTGTAGGTCTTGTCCGGAGAGTTGTGTGCCCATGCGGGGCTGAAGCCACCCGTCATTAGAAACCTAGGCCTCCTTCCCAGTGGTTACTGGTTAGGTACTATGGGAGTGGATCGCGGCCAAGACGCCCTCCCGTGCGCCAATCCGGCTCAAGCATAACCAAGCAGCCACATGGAGACTGTCTTGAGACTCTTGCCTTGGGATTGGGACCGTAACAGCTTCAGCTTATGTATAGAAGCCCTTCTTCTCCCTTAATCTTGGTCATAACTTATGCTGTTGACTGACACTGTGGATAGTACATGCACAAGCCATTTCGCTATGCCAAGAAGCTATGATGCCGTCGTCTAAGGTGGAATAACATATGCAAACTGCAGGCAGTCACTGTTCTGAGTCAGTGCATGTTTCACTTCGTAAGGTAGTAGGCCAGTCCTCGTACAGTTGGAAAATTTTCAAGAAAAAGATAACCAATGATAATATCTCAGCCTCGTCAACACATACCATCGATGAATTGGTGGTCAGCGTTAACCTTGCCAATACTCAGTAGACAAGGCTGCCACAACACCGCGGCCATTCGAGGATGAAAAAGTCAGGCTGAGTGCATTATTCGATGTAATCTTTTTAGATGATACCCGATAATGTCCTGCTCAATTGGCGACCCAATCCTGCTGTGGCTCGATCGCTGTGGTGTAACTGGCCAGGATATATAATCACGGGTGAGATTCTCAGCCTGCCGGTCAGAATTAGCAACAAGCAAGGGGCAACAACAACAATACACTCCCTGTTGTTCTCAGAAAATAAACATCTCATGCAAATAAGAACTTCTTCCTCTCGCCTCTTCCCCTTCTGTTTAAAGGGTAGAGCTGGGAAGCTGAAGATGTTGGCTGCGAAGTGGTCACGTGATACTTGACATATTAAGCTTGTAGACGTTTGAGATCGAGCACATGGAAAGAAGAAAGTGAGAATAGAGATGGACATGGCTTTATCGCCAGAATAGACATCAAGTCATTGAATTCCGATGAAAATGTTGTTGGCTGGTTCGTTGACTTCGAGAGAATAATAGCCACGTGACATACAACTCGAATATTGTCAGGATTCCATCCCGTTTAGGTTTAGCGTCCCGACTTAGTCAGCCTATATATAGTTGGCCCCTGAGCCATCCTAATTGGACACTTGGCGCTTCCCGATTCTCTCAGGTTATGGCCCTATGTTG